ATGATACATGCTATAACTTCTGAGATCTTTATTTGCCCAGACATTTAGACTGTACTACACTGAGTTGTATTTCCACTAACAGAAGTATAGCTCCCAGTGTGGACCTGTTTATTATGATTTTCCTATGCATCATGCTAGAAAAGGTGTTGTCAAATATCAGAAAAGTGCCTTATAAGTTGAGACACCCCCAATATAGTGCCATATATGGGAAAATTGACCATTTGTTCAGATCTGAACTCACCCAAGGGCAAACTATTATGATAACACCTAGACAAAGCAGAGGGCTGGTTCTGTACTATCCCATCTCAAGGGAATGGGCTTTTGACTCTTGATCCCTGGCCAATCCCCACCACATCAGGGCTTTTCTGTGAGGAGCTGTAGAGTTTCTTTAAATGGATCTGTGGCTCACAATTCTGTGCTCTGTATAAGGGAGTGGTTGCTGTTGTCTGTAGGAAGGGTTTGAAAGGCAGAAGAAACTATGCTCAGTCTGTGTAACATGATTTCCTTGCTTCCCTGCTCCTTCTAATGTCTATGTTTTGTAGTTAGCTCAGGTAATCCATGGTGATTCTGAAACCAACACAGTAAACAATCTCCAGAACAGACAAACTCTGTAACTCTGTGGCTCTCACAGTGTTTTGACTGAGACATGTTTGATGCAGGAACAATTTGTACAAAACCTGCCTCAGAGAGATCCCACCTGATTATTAGATAGTTCCAGAGTACAACTGTGCAACCAAGAGCAGCACTTCTGCCACTAATAATATCTTTTATAATTTCTGCTTTTTTAAAAAATAAAACATGAACTGTCACTCTGAGTAAGATGTGTTTTCTAAATTATGTCATATCTTTTGTCCCTGTTAATCCATATGCTGTTTTCTTAGATTTCAGATTTTTTGAGCTCTGCCTGGCTGTATCAGAGGTGGAAGATAGAAGGAGACAACATGTTCTGTCAGTATTGCTCAGGTGCTGCAAATGAGAACAGTAAGCTTCAGCATGCTACAGATGACTCTGTAACAGAAGAAATACATTTATTCACAAATAAATTGCAATTAAACTGTGAATAGGCAGTGCCCAGTGATAGGACCAGAGACAGTGGGCACAGGCTGAACACAGGAGATCCCCTTGAACATCAGAAAACAGAAAACAGAAAATTTTTTACTGCGAGGGTGACCAGGTGCCTGCAGAGGTCACCCAGGGAGGCTGTGAATTCTCCATCCCTGGAGATATTCTAAAGCCATATGTATGTGGTCCTGGACAACTGGCTCCAGTTTAAACAGAGAAGCTGGACCAAATGACCACCACAGGCCCCTTCCAACCATGAACATTCTGTGATGCTATGATTTAGTTTGGATGAAGTTACCCAGTCCAGCACTGACGGCAAACACCTCGCCTTTAGCAACTGTTCAGAAAAAGACTAATGCTCAGGCTCTCTATGGTGTTCTTTCATATTCATTAACCAGTAAGAAATGTATTTGCTACTCACCAGTTCCCCATTATGAGAACTATCATTTGAAATGTGCAGTGGGAAAGCGTATTTTGCATGGCCAGTACTATTACCCAAATATAATATACTCTTACTGAGTATATTCAGAAATCTATCTAAGATTAAAAGACCTTTTGGTAGTTTTGAACCAAGTTTGCTATTTTACTGCACATTGTTCTGCACTACAACTGTCATTGGAAGCGCAGGATATCTTTACCCTGTCATAGATTCCCTTCTCCTTTTTCTTTTTCTGACTTAGATGTATCAATTTAGTGCTGAAGGGAACAGGACACTTTCTCTTTTGTACATCAACAAAATTCTCATTCTGATGGTAAATCCAAATTCCAAATCCCATCCCAGTTTTAGAACAAGAGGAAGATTTTGTGGTAAATCCAAGGGCATTCCTGAACTGTTGCACATCCTTCCTCTTAGTACTGCTAGAATTTGTCATTAACCCCATCCATCTCCTGTCTACTGGATGATGGGTAAATCCATCAACTGCATACTACTAAAATTCATCCAGTCATCTAGTTAGAGGTGAAATTCACGACACACGCTCAGTGCTTTCTGAAATTTTAATCTCCTTATCCCAATTACACAGTAAGAGATAATGCTGTATGTACAACTGCTGAGTCTGCAGTGGCAGAATGAGGCACGTGGCAAATCATAAAGCAGCACTTTTTTGTCTCCTCTAAGTAGGAGAATCATATTCCAGATGTGCAATGGCTTTGATCAGCTGCCACATCCTTAACTGGGGAGACAATGCTGGAGTTTCCTTCCTCAGTCTTCCTTTCTCTGGTGGGGAGCCCCCACCAGATGATCTTTCATTCCTTTTGTTATCTTTTATATTTTACAGTACAGGGGATATTTTATCTATGTTGGCTGTACATCTTTTGTTCTCTTCTGTCTTCTTTTCTCAAAATTGCATTACAGTAATCAGTAATTTTGTAAAGTGTGTTTATGCTCTTGTGTTGTCATCTTGTGCTCGTGCACTTCATCTCTGTGATCAACCTCTGCTTGTGTTCTCCATGGCCCATACACAAGTGAGAGGTTTATTGAAACTGATTCTCAGAATATACTCCATTTTCAGGCTGGATCCCAAGATTATCTTACCACATGAAACAACTCTTTCTTCACTAGTTCCAAGCATGTTTTGCTACCTGCTATTAATTTTCCTATGAGGTGTATTTTAGCTCCATATATTTTTTAATTTTTCCCCCCCAAAAACAGAGCAAAATATATTCACAATGAAACCAGATGAAAAAGGGAACTGAGTTGGAATGAGGGAAGATACACAATCGTGTTATGCTTTGGTTTGACATTAGAGATTAATTTTTATAGCTCTCTCTTTAAGAACAAATAAAATAACTACACCTGACCAGGTACGTAGCTTTTCTGTTTTCCACAATTATCTGACATTCTTGATTCATCCATTACGGCTGAAGGCTGGAAAGGTTGATTGTCCCTACAATATTTTCAGAAATAAGCAATGAAGAAAAAGAGGAAAGCCTGTAAAAGGTTCACCTCCTAGAAGCATCAGGAAATCCTTACAGCAATCAATGAAATAACAAAAAATTTTAAAAAAATTATATCTTCTGCCAAAATTTACTGATTTTTATCTTCAAAAAAGTGGTGGAGCCTTTTCTCTTCACCTGTCCTAAGGTCAACAAAATTCATATTTCTGAAACAAAAGGAAGCAAGCTTGAAAGGAATAAATTGCCCATCTGACTGCTATAAATTACATTATCTGTTGCCTGTTTTCCTACTAGGGCTGCACAGTTCCATGAAACAGCACTAACTTTCAGGACTCCCAGGCTCTCTCTGGGCTGCAAGGGGGTCTCTGTTCCACGGGGGTCTCTCTGGGGCTGACGGGGGGGGGGACCCTTTCTCTGAACCTGCAGCTCTCCCTCCTGTACTGCTGTCACCTTTGGCCCTTGCTGGAACCTGTTTGTCCCTGAGATTCTGCAGCCCCACTGCCACCCTGTGCAATCTCGAATCCAGAACCTTGATGTGCATTCCAGAAAATGATCCATGCTCACCCTATGGGAATATTACTACTCAGTGAGATCAAGAGATAAAATTTAATATGTCTTTTCCATAGTCAGCTGGCAAGGTTAGGCATTTCTAGTGAATTGGGACATATTGCAAAAGCAGTTGATGTTTTTACACTCCATTAACCAGAGCAGGGCTAATTAAATATATTCCAGGGCCCAGAGGTTTGTATCATTGAAGAATTTATTCTGAAGTTGGAAAAATTGAGTCAGTGCAAAAGAAAAATACAAGATGATGTGACAGTCCATCAGATAATGCCCAAATTCAACTTTTATTTATATCTTCGAAATATACAAATGTTCTTTTCAGCTTTTAGTATATCCAGCATTATTATGAAACTTAATTTTTTTTACCCTATATCCATTTCAAATTGGAACAGAAGAAAATGCATCATTTCAAGCTATCAGCCTAAGTTGATGGATATTTTCTGCTTCTCTTCAATGCACTTTAAGATAGACTATTTATCTTTATCTTACATTAAGCATCTGTGAAGAACCATAAAGCACTTTAGAGTGGATAAAAATTCCCAGAATTCAATGGGAATATTTTCATTCCCATCGCTGATGTTTTTGTATGATGTTTGTCAAAATTAGGGATACAGCACTTTCAAAGGCTCTGCTATGAATGTGACTATGTGCTGAGGATACTGTGGGCACTATCTGAACTTAAACAGTGGTACAGTTAGAACTGCAACTTATTAATCTTCTATCTTAAGGATGAAAACAAGTTTTAAACAGAAAATATTGTTTGATTCTTTCTGACTTTGCTTGCTCTTGACTAAAAACAAAAGGTGATTTGAATCTGAAGCATTTTCTCTTCCAAATGAAGTTTTCCATTATAAACAACAACAAATGCAGAAGGAAGGTAATGTAGGTAACTCAGCATATTTTTTTCTTGACGTTTCTCTTCATTTTCTCCCCAAACCTTCAAGACATGGCATTAGGTGAGCTCCAGAATCCAGGAGCTGTGCATTATGCTGGAGATTCAGTGATGGATGGTAGATTACAGCAATACCTCTCACTCTTAACCATACCCTTTCTTCTACTGTTGTCCATCATGAAAATGAAAACACTGAAGGAATACACAGAGGTTTTTCCTATCATTAATTTAATGAGAAAAAAATCACAAATCTTGTTACAAGTGCTTTCTTCCTTCCTTCCTTTTCTCTTTTCCTACAGTAATGTGTCATCTCTCAACCCAGACAGTAAATTGTTTGAAGATATTACAATCTCTGATATAAAACCTCTATTCTAATTCTAACTTACTAAGTACACAATCTAGAAAAAAAAATTTATATAGTAATATACTAACAGAAAACACAGCAGAAAACACCGTCATAAAAAAAAAAATTATTTATAGGAAATGTAATGATATTGCCAACTTCAGCTCTATTTTATTTACACATAGGGTCATGAATTCAATACAAGCATTCACACTACTTACAGAGGGAATATTTCAGAATGTTTCAAATTAAGGGAGGAACATCTTCATTATTTTCCAAATCAACACAGCTCTTCTTAGGCTCTGTAACCTTCTGTGGTTGGAGCTTTATAGGTCCCTGTCCAGTTCGTTCCTTTTCTTGGATTATCTTTGTCACATCAGGGAATGAATATTTACTAGGATCCACTTCTAACTTCTCAATTTGTCCACTCCTGAGACAAGAGGGAAATAAATGGAAAAAACTTAATTTCAGTGTCAGATAGAACTGTTTGAATTTATTATGTGATTCCATGGTTCTATTTTGGGATATAAACACATTGGCTTTGGTATGAGGGTTGCTACAAAGTCCAATTAAACCAGGGTTAAGAGTTCTTGTAACTTGAGAATTGATTGCTAAATGAAAACCCTAAGTGTAAACACATGAAAGTAATACAAAATCTCTAAGATTTTGTACAAAAGAATCCTTAGTCTCCAGACTTCAAAAGTTAATTTTAGATAGCTGTAATTCCCTTTATATCACAACCTGGTGACTAATGGTATCACAGTACAAATGATTGGTTTTTGATCTAAGATAATTTTTAAAAAATCCAATTGTTTTATAATTATTTTTTTTTTTCTGTTCCTTTTTACTCAGCTCCTTCCCACTGACTGTCTATTAATTTCTAGGTGACAGGTCCATCTTTGGTAAACAGAAATAGTTACATTTATAGAGAAAATACAATTGTGGGAACTTGTCTGCCCTGATCAGCTAATTTTTATATTTTGGCAACATGAATCCTCACCATGTTTTTATTATGAAAAAAAATTAAATTAAATTATAAGAAAACTCAGAGTTTTAATACAATTTTCAGATCCTATTGCTATTAAGGATACTCTTTCAGATGACACTTAGAAATGTATACTGGTCACTCATTAAGGCAACCTATGCACATCACATGATGATAAAAGATTTGAAACATACTCTCTTTCTTGCAGCATTTAATCTCATTGTTGTTTTCTAATAGAGGAGCTCAATGATTAAATGAAAAAAATCTAACCTGCTCATGCAGTTTATAACTGTTTACATGAAAAATTGGCAAAATGGAATTTAATTGTACAATTATGTTTAATTTCTTCAAATTACAACATGATTTTACATCTTCATACTCCATTTTATACTGAGTCACAGTTCCCAGCTCAGCATTAGAAAAGACAGTGCCTCACCCTGCAGAGATGTGAGAAAACTCTTTTTACCCAGATTAGAAAGGCTCCTTAGAAATAGAACAAACAAAGGGGAGGCAAAGGCACTGCATGACAGAATGCATTTTATGGATAACAACACAGGAAATGAAAATTTGTATATAAAGCACAATAAAAGATTTTAAACTGATAATACACCATCTATAGTTAAAAAGAGAGAGAGTTTTGCAGGGCAGCTTCCAGATTCTGCCAATGCTTCTCCATCAAGGCTCTGGGAGATCTGAGCAGACATTCCAGCCTCCACCTGTGTGCAGGGTCTCTGTCCCACTGAAGGAGAGATGCAGAGGAGTTCATGGGAGGGTTCCTCCTCTGCTCCTGTGCTCTGCTGAGGAAAGCAGGAGTTCCAGAACAGGCAGTGACCAGCCTAATCACCTCTCTCAGCTCTATGCCACTAGGTTTTTCTTGTACTAAAAGAATAATTTGATCTTTTTTTTTTTTTTTTTTCAGCAGAAAATGGCCAGAGAAGCTGCCTGCTTTAATAATCTGCATAAATCTTTTCCAAATAGTGGCATAAACAAAAATTACTCAGAGTACAATTTTATGGGTAATGAAAACATACAAGAAAGATCTTATTTCTTTATCCTGAACATTCTTCAATTTATAAAGCCATATTATTTTTTTCTGATATTGCACTATACTATTTAATGAAACATAAAAGTATTCAATTTGTGGCAACACTCTGAAAAATGTTCATCCCCCGAAAGTAAAGTGCATTTATGTTTCCTGTGTAATTTATGAAATGTGCTGTGACCTGGAATTGCTTTTTCAGTAGCTGTTGGTTAGATCACAAAGAGAGCAGACCCTTAAACTAATCATTTACCACTAATCTGAGGCACCTCAGAAAAAGCTAAAAAAGCATAAACATGAGAATACATTAGGCTCAGCCTGTGCCTCCATCACATGCTAGAAAAGAATTTCCTTAATTTGAAGTATTTCAATTAGCAGTGGTATCTCACATTTGTTCAACAGCTCTAAAATTGTACAAATTGTCATTCATAAAAATACAATAATGGAATTTGAATATCTTATTGCTTAGTAGCAGAATAAACTTCAGTACTCCAGAAATGAATTAACAGTGTCATAAGTAACAATCCACATCAACAAGCTATGAAAAAGTTATTGCATCAGCCATTCTCAAAATTGCAACAACACATGTAATCTCGAAGTATGTTAGCAACAGGCTACAAGTAAGACTGAGAATCAAGCACAGGTGAATTTTTCCAGAAAGGAAGTGGGTTTTCATGTACTTACATGAACATGATCAAACATTCTATACCTGTTTGGAAAAGCTTCACAGTGGTATCCCAGCTACCATGATACTAATTGGCTGAAGCAAGACCCTGTTAGGCTGAGATCAGTGCAGCTACAACACAGATCTCATCACACAATCCAGGGAAAAGAGGCTGGGTATTGATGAAGTCAAGGGTAACCACCTGAACATTTTTTGAAGAAAGAACAAGGGTTTTTTCCATATAATTCCACCTAGCAGAATAAAAATCATCTTGTTGCTGAAGCTGTTCCACGAGCAATGGCAAAATGTTTGCTTTGTTATGTTATGAAAACAAAAATATTCCTTGAAGGATCAGCTAGAGAACATATCTGAAAATCTCACTGTTTGCAAACTATTTCAAGCTCAGGTCTAAAAATAGATTAAGTTCACAGTTTTTGGCACTGCTACCTGCTGCTCAGTGTTCTCTACCTAAAAAATTATGGTCAAACACTAAAGCGCCACACAAAAATAAATTAAATCCTTTATTTCTTCCTGACATTTTTTTTCCCTTTGAAAGGCTATTTCTACCTCCACATAGTCTGACTAGGTTTTTTAAGAATAAAAGTAGAAGACTCCACAATAAAGAAAGTTTTGTATAACTATAGCATCCTGTTGAACAATCTGGTGTATGACATGTGGCATATCTGATAAATTGGTATTTCTTGATAATTTACACTTTCATTTACAGTCTTTAATCCCCATACTTGATATTTAAATGATTTGACAGTTACATTCCCCTGTGTCAGCTTCTGAATTTCAATAAAATTTAGATTGCTAGAAATTTCTCATATCTTTGATCCAGAATGTATGGTTATTGGCATGTGACTGAAAGTTTCCTTTCTCTTATCAGGATATCTAAAGATACTTTGGAGTCACAACCAACCACTTTGGAGAGACACTTTTTCAAATATTTTAATATTGTGAATGAAACAGGACAAAAAATCATTATCACCCTAGACAATGGAAAAGTGACTGATTAAACTGACCTTGTCTGCAAGCAAGAAATACGCTCCAATACCTGCAATATACAAATAGATCCTGAATTTATATATGGCTATTATGGCTATAATATTATCTTATTCTTTCTCCTTTCACTATTAAAATTTTCAGTCAAACTTGAAACCCTTAAACACTCAGGAAACAAACACTGAAAACACACTTTATTCTAATAAAGTTTTTCCAAAGTTATGGAATGTTAGAAAGCAACTTTAAATTCCATCTCTGCCCTCAGACTTTTGTCCTTGTCCCATATGCACAACCTAAGATAACTTCAGACTGCACTGATCAGGAACTAACTGAACTGTTCTCTTGAGAATGCTTTCTCCAGAAGGGCACATTTCTGAAGTCTTCTGACCTTTATTACATTAAGGACTATCAGATGCCAATGTACAAATTAGTTTTCAAATAATTTCTGAGGCACCCCGCCTTTTGTTCTCCTCGTTAGTCAAATGATGGAGATGCACACCCTCTACTTTGATTAGCTCCAGGCCTCTATGAGAATGATAATAACTCCATACTTTGAGAGTAATTTGATTGAAAAACATTTTTATCATGTTGCCTAGTCATATCTGATTACACTTTCTGGCTAAGAAGTCAATTGAATTACAGTTTCTATGATTCCTCCTTTCCCATACAATATTACTTGCATTCTGAAAGTTCTCAATGTCTTCATGACAGCTAGAAAACTTCATTGCTAGCTAGAAAATAGTAATTCTGCAAACTATTCTACTCTCAAGAATTGTAATCTAATCCCAGGTGTTTATCAAAGGCATTACATCTCAATAGAACTGATGATTTGTCATTTGTGATCTCTGCACACATTTACTCATCGGTCAGTCAGGCCACTCTTCAGATGCACTTGGCTTTCTTCACATTGAAATGTTTGTGCTTGGTTTAGACACTGAGAATTTGCATTCTGAAAGATCACATAAATCCTCCTGAAATTCTTTCAGATCAATTTGCAACACCATTCCGTTTCTGACCTCATCTTACCTCCCCTTCCTAGTCCTGAAGAAATGACTCATTTTGTTCTACTGTATTTCTCTTCACAACACGCAGTTCTCTCCCTTCCAACTCATCACATCCCTCTGTGTAAACTGCAGGAATTTAAGACTGGGAGAGATTTTCAGCCATTCAGTCTGGAAAGGCAGTATTCTGACACTTTACAAAGACTGCTTCTAGAATTCAAATTAGAACTTCTCACTCCCCAAGAAATATTCTTACTTTTACATCTACAATTTTTTCACACAGATTTGTTCTTTGCCTCTTCTCCACCAAAATGAACCAAGCTAAATCAGGGTCATCCAGTAAAACAGAGCTTTGCAGTATGTTTCATCTTCAGCAACACTTACATCTCAAGTGAGATAGCCATAGAGAATTTTTGAAATCATCAGTCTTTTATTCTTTATTAGTTAATAAACAAAGAAAAGCTCAACTATAACCAAAGAGTTATCCAAGAAAAGTAAATTAAAGCTTTTTTATCTCTGAAACTTCAAACGATAAAAGAAGTTCTGTTAATGAGTCTTATCATGACTTGTTTGCTAGAAAAATACAGTGATCCAATACAGTGATTAAAAACATTCAAGTTTTCTCAGTCTCAAGTTTAATATAAATTACAGGTAATTTTATGTATTTTATGTCTCTTACATATTATTAGTGAATTATTAGTGAATTAGTGAAAAATGGTTGAAACTGGATAACCTGTTCGAAGGCATTTATGGGTTAACCAGCAGATAGAGGTGGACAATCCAGCAGCATATTTTTCTTTTTTTTTCCTCCTTAAAAATCCAGATTAAAAAAAACCAAAACTAAACCAAACTGAAACAAAACCCAAAAATTGCCAAACCCCAAACAATATTTACTGTCACTAAGAACGGATTCCAGCAGAATGTAAGTCAGATTTCCAACCTAATATATTACATGGTGTTCTCTAGAGCATGTGCTGACTTGGTCACCCAGTGCAATCCTGAATGGCTAAGAGGGGAAAAGATACTTAGGGCAGTCAGATTTGCAATGCCTGAACTACAAAGATAGAAATCACCTCTACTTTACATTCCTTACTTCAATATAAAATATGTGTATAGATCAGGACTTGCTGATTAGTTTTCAGTTCTGCAGAAACTGCCACTCCATTCCTTTGCATCTTCAAATTAAACCATTCTCTGGCTATATTTATTAGCCTCTCTGTATATAAAGATCTATAGTAACAAAAAACAAAACAAAAGCAAAAGAAGAAAACTCAAAAAATGAATGAAAAAGGTTTTATTCCTATGAATATTTCATTACTAGAGGAATTCAAATGTGTATATATTTACATTCAGAGACATTTTCAGTTTTATTTAATTTTTTTCTTCTCCAACTACTAAAGGAAGAATAATCTAAAGCTGAAGGTATGAGAAAATGACTGTTGACTTTATGTAACTGTTACTCTTAAGATTTCCAGTAAAACTTCAGAGAAGTCCTCTGAATTTCCTCTACACAGCTGTGGAGAACTCAACTTTGCCATCTTACAGCTGAACTGTGAGGCCAGTTCCAGTAAGGAATGGAACACTCAGCTACTACATTAATAGAGGCTTTGTAAATATAATAGATCAGTCTGTCAAATTCCTTCCACAGAAACTTGCCTCTTTGAATGCTCCAAATACAGATTAATATATAGTCAGAGAAGAAGTTTCTCATACATGGCAGAAGTAATGACAGTATCATCATGTAATCTAGCTAACAAGAGTTAAAGAGATTTAAAGCTCTGCATTACAGTTTGGCAGATTATATGTCTGACAGCATTTAGCTAAGACATCTGTAGCTGTCAAGTATAATCACTGTAATTTATGTTCTTCTATAATCTAAGAGACAACTAACTATTCAGCAAATTTTTAACATCTGGCTAGTCAGCAACTTTTCAGCTAAAGAGGTCAAAACACTATTTTTAGAAAGAATTGTAATTCAAAGACTCTTCCTACTTCTACTTTTGTGGTATATATTCCTGTAATATTTTAGCCCTCAAAATCTGCAGGAAGCAGATTCATAAATACTTAAAACTGTATAGAAATCAAACACAATACCTGGAGTTTCACTATGTCACAGAATACCTTTAGTTCATCAGCTGGCAGGACAGGGCATAAATTCACATTATTACTTCCATGCTCCTATTATTATTTAAACATTTACTATGCTGACAAAACTAAAGGCAAACAGAGTTCTAAGGAAATGTATTTTCATAATTCACAAGTTGTTTTATTAACTTATTTATTGAATTGCATTTAAAGATTTAGCTGCACTTCAGTGGAAAAGCACTATTCCTCTTGCAAAGAATCATAGAATAGACTCACAGAATGGTTTGGGTTGGAAGGGAAATTTACAGGTCATCCAGTCCAATCCCTCTGCAATGAGCAAGTTACATCCTCAGTTAAATTAGGTTGCTCAGAGCCCCATTCAACCTGACCTTGAATGTTTATAGGGATGGGGCATCCATCACCTCTCTGGGCAAATGGTGACAGTGTTTCACCACTCTCATAACACAAAAATTCTTTCTTATTTATTTCCCCTCTCTTACTTTAAAACAATTATGCCTTGAAATCTGTCCCCATCTTTTTTACAAGATTCTTTTTAGAATGAAAGGCTGTTAGAAGGTCTCCCAAGCCTTATCTTTTTCAGACTGAAGAATCCAAACTCTCTCAGCCTTTCCTCATAGGAGAGGTGCTCCAGCCCTCTGATAATTTTTGTGGCCTTCCTCTAGACTGGCTCCAGCAGATCCATGTCTTTCCTGTAGCAAGGATCCCAGAGCTGGATGCAGAACTCCAGGTGGGTTCTGCATCAGAGCAGAGCAGAGAGGGAGAATCCCCTCCCTCAACCTGGTGTCCATGCTGCTTTTGATGCCACCCAGGACATGGCTGGCTTTCTGGCCTGCAAGTGTACACTGCCTTCTCATGTCCAGTTTTTCATTCACCAAAATACCCCCAAGTTCTTCTCAGGGCCACTCTCAATCCTTTCTTTTTTCAGCCTTTATTTATTCCAGGGGTTGTCCTGACCCACGTATACCACCTTGCAGTTGACGTTGTTCAACCTGATGATATTCATGTAAACCCACTTCTCCAGCTTGTCCACATCCCTTTGGATGGCATCCCACCTACTGGCATGTGAACTGCACCACCCAGCTTGGAGTCACCCACAAAGTTGCTGAGAGTGTACTTGATGTGAAAATGTACTGGTCCCAGTATGGACCCCTGAGGGTCACCACTTGTCAGTGATCTCCATCCACAGATTGAGCCATTGCCTACTCCCCTCTGGACACAACCATCCTACCAATTCCTGATCCACGAAATCCTGACCCAGTCCATCCATCAAATCCATTTCTTACCAAGTCAGAGAGAAAGATGTTGTGGGGGGCCATAACCAAGGCCTTACAGAAGTCCAGAGAGGTGACAGCTGTAGCTGTTCACTGATACTGTCATTTGATCACAGAATGTCACTAGGTTGGCCTTGCACTTGGTGGAGCTGTTCTGGCAGTCCTGAATCACCCCTCTGTCCTCCAGGTGCCTCAACATAGCTTCTAGGAGGATCTGTTCCATGATTCCCAGGCAGAGCAGGAACCCAAAGGTGAGGCTGATGGGTCACAAATTCCCAGCAGCCTTCTTTCTACTCTTTTTAAAAATGGGTGCAGTATTTCCATTTTTCCAGTCACCAGGGACTTCACCTGATTTCCATGACTTCCCAGGGATAATGGAGAGTAGTTATCCTCCATTTGACCTGGACCTTCTAAAAATATTTTAAATACTCAGTGATGTACTGTTGTAATGACTGCTGCTTAAGGAAAGGGTACAGTCCTTGGGGCTAACTAGTCATTTCAAGAAATTCTTGCAGGTGTCCTATCATCTCCTAAGGCAAATCATCAAGACAAGAAGTTAATGCTTGATTTTTATTAGAAACAAGAAATAAGAAGTAGAATTAATTACAACTGACTCTTGCAGAACCATTTTGCCAGTGTCCTAAGTATTGAGACAAAGAACAATCACAATCCAAAATGCCATTTTTTACTAACTGTTTAGCCTTTTTAACAGGATTCAACAGAATGAAATCAAACAAGGAAACAAGTGCAACACTTCAAATATAAACAGATGAACAGCTTAAGGAACTTTGCTATTACAATATTTTATTCTGGTATGAATACCGTTGGCTATAACCAAAGGAAAAGGACAGATTAAAGTAAGTATCATGGTACTTGTACTTAGGCCAAGTGTCCATGAACCCTACTGTCTATCTACAAAAGTACTTGCTAAGGGTAAAAACAGAAAATAGTGCATCACTGATATTCACCTGCCTTGGGCAGTCATTAATTAAAAGATTTCAAGGGCTGGAGTTGGTGTCACATATAATAGGATGGATCTGTTACAAAACCTTGCAGAATTGTTTTTTGAACCTATTTACTAAAGCAGTAGATCAACCTGTATGACAGTGAAAAGATACATTCATGAGAGAGATTCAAAGTAATTGCTTTCTAAAAGGTTTCCAGAGTAGGGTTCCATAGCAAGGAGCTCTGCGAAGGCCATTCTCAGTAGGTGAATTTGTTTTAGCGTATACCAGGTTTTTTTAGTGCATACCAATTACCAATGAATGAGCTGATGGAAAGAAACTGATAGGCAAAAATAAGTGTTTTTTTGGCTCTGCTGTTGAAGGAGATCACTTTTTAATAAACAGCACCAGATAGGTTATTAAAAGCTTTTAGACATACTTTTGCTCTACACTAATCAATATTTTCATATTTTCATATTTTCAACAATAACATAAAAGAAGTACATATTCTGGCATGTGAATAACACACTATAAAAATAAAGCTGAAGCAGAAGATAAAAAGGGATTACCTTCTCGTGTTTTTTTGCTGTGTATTGCAGTCAGAATGTTTAATTGAAGCTGAAACTTTTTGCTTAGCCAGGATTACTTCTTTAGCCTAAAACAAAAATAGACAAAACAGAATTCTCATAAAAGTTGACACTTTTGCTTTCAAGCATTTAAATAATCTTTCGAAAATAGAAAATTGAGAACATCTGCATAAATTTTCTCTTGTGACATTTACTCTATTATATTTTAACACTCTTCACTCAGCAAGGAACAGAGACATAAGGCAAGTTAAACCAAATTATCTGAATGGAAATATAGTCAAACATTTATAAAATTATACATGAAAGAGTATTTAAATATATATATCTACTTGCATTTAAATATATACCATCTTAGCACCTTGTTAATAATGCACATTACTGATTGCATTTTGGTTCTGGTGTCCAAGTAAGTACTTGTTCTGACATTATTAAAAAATCAGCTTTTTAGTATGGACTTCTACTCGCACAAATGACAAGTGATCACGAACTCCCTCAGCTCCTTTGCTAAAACAGAAACTTAGGTTCAAAGTCCAGATGAATTCCCCTTCTCAAAGAAAACACATCCATTGTGATTTTTTGGAAGATGTGTTACAGACAAAAGGGTATCTCATTGCAAAAGGATCTTTCCCTTTGTAAGAACAGCATGAGAGAGGGATCCGTTAAGCGTTTGAAAGAAGAACAGGAACTACACCAAATAGTTCATTGTATTGACTTTCATAGTGCAATTGATTTGAGAGCAGTCTCTTCCAGAAGCCTTGTGAATTTAGTCTCCATTCTGAACCCCAAATGATATAAAGACAGCTTCTGTCGTCTGTTTCTGGAAATCAGTCTGAAGAGGCTGAATCCCTCTGATTCTATACATGCTCTGATAAAGGAAAGAAAGCCTTGTTTCTTTCTATTTTCCCTTTTCCCAAGTGTTCTTTTTTTAAACAGAAATTAATTCCATTTATCCCCTTGAGACTCGTGCTCCTTACTTTGTCCTCAGAGCACACCATCAAGGATGGTGAAGAAACATGCTGATTCTGCACTCGTAAGAAAGTGCATCCTTGACAAGAACTGACCTTGGAACTTAGGGAAGGGTTAGGATTTGCCTACTTTGGGCTCAGTGGAAAGATAACAGTGAAACAGTGAAATTTGAAGACTGTGATATACAGGAAAATGGACTAAATTAATAAAATGAAGCTTTCTGAAAGTTATTCTATTATACTAATATTTATGATACTAATACTATGACTTCTAATATTTACATTTTTGTGTACAATTTTGGGCACCACAATCTAAAAAAGACATGAAGCATCCAAAGGAGGCCATGAGGATGGTCAAGGGTCTGGAGGAGAAGCTGTATGAGGAGTGGCTGAGGTCACTCGGTCTCTTCAGCCTGGAGGAGATGGAGGGGAGGCTTCATTGAGGTCTTCAATATCCTCATGAGAGGAAGAGGAGGGGCAGGCACTCATCTCTTCTCTCTGGTGACCAGTGACAGGACCCAAGGAAATGGCCTGGAGTTGTGTCGGGGAGGTTTAGGTTGGGTATTAGGAAAAGTTTCTTTACCCAGAGGGTGTTTGGACACTGGAACAGGCTCCGCAGGGAAGTGGTCACAGCACCTGAAGGAGTTCAAGAAGGACTTTGACAATGCTCCCAGACACATGGTGGGGTTCTTGAGATATCCTGTGCAGGGCCAGGAGTTGGATTTGATGATCCTGATGGGTTCCATCCAACTCAGCATACCCTATGATTCTGTGATTAATTAGAAAACAGAAAATGCACCCTCTTTTAAGATCATTATCAAATGATTCTAGATATAGAGTTTTTAAATAAAATCTGGAGTATATTTGAGAAAACAGAAGGAATATGTGAAAGCCCTATTTTTTGTCCGCCTTTTTTTTCCTGCAATGGCTTTATTAAACTACATTGGAATTCCTCTGAGTAACAGGCTTTCCAGGAAACACACTTACACTGAAGGATTATTAGATTTCTAGGGTTCCACAGCTGTGCCTCCACATGCCTTTGATGGTAATGAAATATTACTGCATTTACCATACCTAGATAAGTGAGAACTATATAAATAATTCTATCAAATAGCATTGACATGCACAATACACACCACTCCTATTTTTAGATTAATAAAGGAATCTAACTCTTACTGATCTTTAAATTTCTAATCACTTTTGAAAGCCCAGGCAATAAAAAGCTGTCAGCATTCATTTGTGACTGGTAATATAATGAAAAATTAATCAAAAGTCCAAATTTTTCTCTCTGACTCACTAAATTAAGAAAAATGAAGTTTTAAAACATGACAAAGAATGTCTCAGAAACCTAAATATAACATGCCTGTTAATAACACTGGGGTTTGATGCTTTTACTCAGGCAGTAATTAAAATGTTGTTGTAATCTATTGATGACATTTTATGAAATCATTTGTTTATCATATTATTTAATATGCTAATTTTAGTCAAAGTCTATTAAAGAATCTCCCAGTTTTTCATTTTCCTGCATCATCCACAAAGGTGATGTTGCCAGAGCACAGAGATTCAAAACCTGAGAAGATTCATGTCATAAATATTTTTCCCAGAACATGAGGCATGTACAATGTCATCATTATCAACACCTTACTCATGCAAAATCTCCATACAAAGGATTACTGCAGTATAAACACTACACTTTTAAAATCTCACTACATTATTTCACTGAACATTGTGTCCTTCAGTTTCTTCTGACGACCTTCCAAAAAATGTTGGTAAACACTACCTTAGAAAGGCATCCATTCTGCCGTAATTTGTTGTGTAGCAAGTAATATGGTTAAAAATATGGTTCTAGAAATGAATGTGAGAATTATTCCTTTCTTTTACTTGATGTGGAATTTACTATCTGCAACATCTGTGGTGTGGCAAGGTCATCAGAGAGGCAAAGAAAAAGGTTTTGTTTTTGTTTTCAAGGATTAGGGAATTATAAACAGGCTGGAAGATGAATGGTTAAAGGTTTATAAACCTGATCAGAAGCTCACTAAAACAGGTGAAAAACATTTAGAATTCAGATAGATTTCTGTTATTTCTGTGTTACTGAGAAGGCAGAGATATTTTTAGGATATTATTGCATGAAGCTTATTATAGGAGACTATTTCTAGATTACTGGACAACATTTCAGTTATCTAAGGAATGTGCTAGGCCATTTACCTAGTTGATAAACAAATATTATTTTGGTAACTGTTTTTTAGGAACAAAAGGATATAATACAGTGCAATATAGTCATTAAGCTTGTCTTGGCACTGATACAGCCTGAAAGAGATTGAATTTATTCTGGCCTTCCATTTATCTTACTAAGAAGAATTCCCATTAAGTTGGTGATCTCCAACTAGTATTCTCAAGCATTGATAAAATCAGCCACAATATTCTGCAAGAAAAATATCTATTTGCCTTCCTGTTGTCAATCATTATTCATTTACCTTTCTTCCTATATTATATCCCATTAATAACTATGGATTGAGATCATCTGAAGAGGATCTATGCCCCCAAAATTTAAACTGAGTACTCTGTTTCAGTGCTAGCGGAAGAGAAAAGATTCTGTGACTAAAAAAGAACAGTGAACAATAGGTTAGTATCTGTTACATGCAATTACAGTGAAGTAACACAGATCCATCTTTGGTCAGCAAATCCATGAAGTTCATAGGATCACAGAATGCTGGAGATTGGCAGGGACTTATGGAGGTATTCTTGTCCAAGCCCCCTGCTCAGGCAAGGCCCACTTGAGCCCACTGGACCACACCCAGCTGGCTTTAAACTATTTCCTGAGATGGAGGATTCACAACCTCCTTGGGTGACCTGTGCAGGCACCTAGTCATCCTCACAGCAAGAGTTTCCTGGTCATCAGAGGGAACTCCTGCATTTCAGTCTGCGCCCACTGTCTCTGGTGCTGTCACTGGGCACCACTGAAAAGAGCCTGGCTCTGACTCTTTGCACCCTCCGTTTAGGTATTTCTGTGTATTGATAAGATCCTCTTGAGCCTTCTCCAGGCTGGACAGTCCCAGCTCTCTCAGCCTTTCCCCATAGGAGAGGTGCTCCAGTTCCTTGATCATCTTTGTGGCCCTTTTGCTGGGTTCTCTCCAGTATGTCCATGTCTCTCTTGCACTGAGGACGCAGCACTCCATGTGTCTCTCACCAGTGCTGAACAGAGGGGGATGATGGCCTCCCTCCACCTGCTGGCAATGCTCCGAACGCTGCTCAGGATACAGCTGGTGTTCTTTGACAGAAGAGGGTATTGCTGACTCATGTTCAACTTCGTGGCAACCAAGACTCCCAGGTGCTTTTCTGCAAAGCTGCTTTCCAGAATCCACTGACAACAAAGACACCATGCAGTATTCCATTCATGCACCTTTGACTGTGTCCAAGATACTCAAGCAGTTTTAACCAAACCAAGGTCAAGCTGAGAACATCCAGCCAGTTATTCTATAGTGCTTCTCTCTCCTCATGTTTTACAACATCTGAGAATCATGTATCCTGAGATAAAGTATGCTCCAGAGCCTCAGGCTAGACAAAATATGTACATGTAGCTAAAATATCAAGGTAGCTTAAATATAAAGTTAATAATGGAACACGGCACTTTTCAATCACAGTATGAAGAGAGAATATTCATTTTGCTGATTTAGGTATGACTTTATAGGCAGGCAGCAGAATTAATATATCCAGAGACAGTTGGAAATATTTACATTTTCTAAGGCATTGATCATCCACAAAGGAACTACAAAGATGTATGAGTAAAAAAAGCAGGGTATGGGACAGAAAACTGACAGTACTTAAAGAAAAGTAACTATTAAACAAAAGAATCCATATACATTTGAAAATTACACTATCCAAAATGGCAAATGTCAAGGCCTCATTTTCAAATATATTTATGGAAACATAAATTCTCAGTTGAGTGAATTTTGTACATTCAGAAAATAACTACCTTAACCAAATGAGTACAATTTTCAGTATTCTTACAGTTTTTGGTAAAAATGCATGTTTGATGCTAGAGTGGCAGTTTGTGATTTGGTGTGGGGCTGTCCTCAGAGGGACAGACAGATGGTATGGTACTGGAGTGTAGAAGGTAATAACCACAAACGGAAAAAGCCAGAAGTTAGAGCTACTAGATGCTCTAACTAGTCTTGGAATTAAATCAGCACAAAGAGACAAAAATGACCCCATATAGCAGGTGAAGCTATTTCAGCTAAATAGCTTCTTCCTTCAGAAGGAAATGCTGTATTTGGTATGTTCTGGTGGACTCACACATGTCCCCTGCCCTTACACAAAAGAGAAACTTCCTAAAAGCCAGAAGGGTAAGGCTAGAGCACCAAGAGATTGTTTATTTACTGTAACTATCCCTGGGTGGGGTTACTGTATTCCAAAAGCCGAAAGTATAAGATGTCCTACAGAGGCCTTAAAAGCAACCCAACCATCCCAAGGCATAACAGAAGAAGATACTGCAGTTGATTAACTTCTCCTTCAGCATCCAGAACCCCACCATATAATCCATTCTCATCTCTGGAGCTCCACCTCCCTAGAACTTCCAGCTCTTTGTCTGCTCCAAGCAGTTTCAGCTGAAACAACGTGTTGTCACAACCTACAGCTGGTCAGAGGATGCTTTCCAGCCAGGCAGAGCATGAAGGGAAAATGAATTAAGCAACTCTTTTTCCAAACACAGGAGAACTCAAGAGTAGTGCATCATCCCTTTATTTGAACAAATACGTAACCTTCATACATATGTGTGCCACACAAATTTTTATAAACTGACTTGTTCTTATTATGTCACAAGTGAAAAACTGAAGTAGGTATTTGTTATTTTTCATTATTTATCTATTTATAAATATATATCTATTTATAAATCTTCTTTAACATTTTAATGTTTTACATAGTCTCTTTTAGGATATTAAAAGCTGATTTGTTTGAAGTAAAGGAAATACAAATTTCTATTAATACTGATTTTCATTATGTTCCTTTAGAGGGATTTTAAATACTAAGGCTTAGCTCTGCAATTAAATTGTCTTTATTCAATGTTCCTTTTTTGGAAAATATGCTCTGATGGGAAAGGCTAGACTGCATATCTTCAGCAAGCCAGATGCTACCTGTAACTCAGAAACATTCCCAAAGCACTCACAACATTTAAGGACCTTTGTGTGATGTCTCCTATTTTACGTACCTTTGGCATGGTGACAACTAAATGACCAGTTGTTTGTGATCTTTTAGCAGAGCTGCTGTCTGGCTTCACTTCCTCAGGGAGCACAAGCTGAAATGGCTATGAGACAATATGGAATTGAAGTATATCATGCTAAAATATTCTTTTTCTTTCCTTCACATGGACAGAACAAATACAAAACCACCGCTACCACGTATTTTGATTTTAAGGACACTGCTTTCACTTTATGTATGGTATTACTAAACCTAATAAATTATGCTAAATAGCTTTTGCTTACAAGTAGAGTCAGATGTATGTTCCTGAATTGCTGCCATTCCTGAAGTGGCATTTCTAAAGAAGGTTATAAAATGATGCTTGACTTATATTAGCAATTAAATGAGAAAGATTATCCAGTCTATTTAGATGTAAAGCAATACTCAAGTTTTGTTTATGCAGTTGGCTTGGTTAAAAATAGGGATTTTGATTTACTGTGGAAGTACTTTGAATTTTTTTTTAAATGATGACAAAATTAAAACCACCAAGAAGAGAGAAAACTGGAATGACATTTTAAATGCCCTTTGAAAAGAATATACATCCATTGGTTTCTGTCAACTATAAATTTCAGTTTGTGAAATTGCTAAATTCTAGCCTAGGGCAACTAGGAAGCTCTCTTCTAAAGTGAATTATGGTACACTGTGTGGGGGGAATAAGAAGAGAGAAGTGAAATTTTATTTCAGGCTCTGTACATCTTCTGGATAGGACTTCCACAGTTTATGTGTGGTTCAAAATTACGTTGGTATTGAAAGAACATTCTCTCTGCATAGATGCAAATGGCTGGTAACTTATAGAAGTCAGATCCAGAGTCCACTGAATAAATATGGCAAACATTAACTCTTGACTTGAACTGGATGTAGTAAGGAGTCACAAACCTTTCCCTTCACCAGTACTCGTATGTAAGTTGGCTGCACATCAACATCAAGTAAAGAAGTGTCCAAATATCTTCAAAATGAAATATAAAAAAATTAATCAATCTACAGTAGACCATATAACTCTTTCAAAATTTCATAGTTTATAAAGAACAAGCTTAAATTTCAGTCATTAAATTTTTCAAAATACTATTAGGATTTAAAGTTTTGGGAAAAAACATCCCATGATCTTCCTGTGAATGTCACTTAAAATAATGTCTAAATTCAGTCAAGCCTATGACATCAGCTATTGTATAACAACAAGAATTAAAAATCTTTGAGGAAAACAAAAAGTTCTTTCATCTGTTAGTTCAGTGTTTTACACTAATATGAAAATTAACCTACATACTATTTAAAATTGTGAAAATATTTTGCTATTTTTCCTTCTGAAGGTTTTACTACTGAAATTATAACAAAAATTCTCTTTTTTGTACAGAATTTGCTGGAAAACAATGAACAGATATACTTTCCCTTCCCAGAAAAGACAGAAATTTTAAATCTTTCAAACAAAATTTGTGACCTGTAAAAGCTCCACTTTTACCTCTGCTCTTCACTATGTGACACTTGATGGGACTCATGGGAATGCACAAGTATGTATTTCCCATTCCCCTGCTTTTACAATATTATTTTACAGGTGACTTTTTCAAATGTTTTAGTCTGCATTTCTTACAAGTGAGCACAGACTGTTAAAATATGGACTACCTAGGGTCCCAAAGTGTTCAAGAAATGAGTGTACGTGGCACTTAATGCTGTGGTGTAGTTGACAAGGTCATGATGGGTCAAAGGCTGGACTTAATGATCTTGAAGGTCTTCTCCAATCTAAATGATCCTAAATGATTTATTGCACCTGAATAGATTTTCTGAGGTTCCAGAAAGAGATCTGTATCTTATAAATCAGAAACAGTGAGCAAATCTCTTTTGAGGGAAATTAATGACTTTCAAGAGAAGCACACCTGGCTTATAATAATAAGCACAGAATATAAACAGAATTTATATAATAATATTTCTGTGCTATAAAACTAGTTCAAGTTTTATGTAACAAGTTTCTATTACAGATAGATAAACTTGTGGCTTTCCAGACCCTTCCTGAAAAATGAAAAAGGTCATTGTAAGGCTTAGCACTATATGTACTATCTCCTTGTAATATTTTGCCTGGTTAAACCAAATTTCTTCTGAGCAATGCTCTGGTATGTTTCAAGAATAGGCAAAAGGCATGGACTCTTTCCACTAATGAAGGAAAATAAGACGAGGCTACTCTACTCTGTCTCAGGGAGAAGAAGAATTTAACTATAAGCACATGAACTTCATGTACTGAAGCATTTCTAGGGTCAAAGCATGAGCAAAAAATTCTACTCCCTACAGCCCCTATCTGCAAAGGAAGAATATAAAAGATTTTACATATATATAAAAGAACAGGTGTGAAAGACACCTGCCTGTGGACTAAAGAAAACATCAGTTCCCAAAAGGACTATTAGACACAGTCTCCATTCAGGATTAACAGAGTAGTCTGAAGGGCCTTTGGCTTCTTCAGTTTCACTTCTTTGGCACAGGTTTTGAGATTTCTTCCATTATCCATTATATTACTTGTTTTCTTCTTGAAAAGTCCCCGTTTGAGAGAGTAGAATAATTGAAACACTGTATTACATTTTATGAGTGGCAAAAACTATGGGGAAAAAAGACCCAACCTGTAAACAGCGAGATCCAAGATGATCTGGTTGTTTTCTTCATCATCTTTCAAAGAGAAATGAAGCCTAATAACAATGACAAGAAACATCTCCAGGATAAATACTACTGGAGTGAAAAAGCAAACATTACAGCATAGTTCAAATGTTAGCAATTTTAGATGAAGGCAAACACCATTTAGACAATTATGTCATGCCATTATTTAGAAACAGTTGCAATTTGCCCCATGAACAGAAAAAAAAACACTGGCATTTGAGCCAAGGTCATTCTTACATTTATTTTCTATCCTCCCTACTCAAATCACAAGAAAAAGAAAAAAAATCCTCTGCTGAAGGTCAGTTAAAATTAAGCTCATTCTGACAATGCAGAACGAGAGACATCTGCTGGTGAAACCTGTCTGCTCTATTACATCTTCATAGAAAAAAAAAAGTTCCAAAATGCATGAAAAACACAGAACTTTGTAATTCTAATCTTATAGTATGTTTAAAAAAATGCACTTTTGTTCATAGTAAATAATTTTCCCCAAGTATAAATATCTATGCATTTCCAAAGTAGAACATGATTTGTAAAATACCCTTGATTCTATAAGCTTTATATTTGTTGAAAATGAGACTGTAGATTGTATTAGCAGAGTGTTTGTGATGTGTTGTTGTGTTCTTAAAATAGAGAATGAATGTTAACAGTTATAAATTGATGCCATCTATTTCTACAATGGTAAGATCTAGTCTAGACTTACAAGTTCTGCTCACATACTCAAACATTTCCCATGTATGAAAGCAGAGAAAAAAAATCCAGAATGAAATTACCTACAAATAAGAAGTTTTTGATAAATTAGTTATTAGTATAAAATGAAAGTATTTTGTTTAATATAATTTACCTGGGCTATTTCAGTGACATTAAAATATTTAGATAAATTTGGTTCAGGTAGTGGAAAGATGCTCAAATGTTAGCAGATTAGATTATAAATTTTTTCAGCAATAAGAGTATTTTCCAGTTACACTTTTCAATCTTTGCTCTCCTATATTCTGTATATTCTGATACAGACAATTTGCAAGAAGGTTTAAAGAGGCTGTAGTTTGCAAGTATTTTTTAATGGAAAAGTGCAAAGAATACAAAACAGCTTTACTTCCGGATCAGGTTTTTTGTCTTCCTGCATCACTGCTTTTGAGAACCCACTAAAACATGAAGGGTGAACAAGAGGACAGAATTATAAAATTTTCTAGGAAGAATCTTAATTAGAACTGGAGAAATAGTCTGTCCTCAGCAGCAAGCAGCCATTCCTCTTGCTAACTTTCCAAAAGAACATCAGAGAAGCTTGGACATTTTTATGGATAGGAGACTTCCATGTTGAAGCAAAAACTTTGGAGAACACCATCTGCTTACTTGTATCTCTCTCTTTATGTCTCTCCAATACACTGCCAGATTGCACTGAACAGCTGTGACATTCTTGTTGAAGCCAAGACAAAAAATGCTCATTGGTCTGGCTTTATGTGGGCACATCCACAGACTAAATTCAGAAAACTTGGGTGACACAAACAGCGATGCTACTAACAGTGAACTCTGTTTCTTCTAAAAAAGATAGCTAGAGATTTAGTCTAAATGTCTCTGTGTTTTAGAGGCATTGTCAACTTCTATTAACACAAGATTTTAGGCTTGTCTTTTTTGGAATAGAAAATGATACCTTTTTTTTTTCAGTCAACACATTTTTACTGAAAAAAGTACATCAATACAATGGAAAGTATCTCCTGGTACATTACACTAAACGAAACATTACACTAAACTCTTCCACTACTTTTAATTCTCTCTATTCTACTGAAAATTGTGCATACATGTAATTCCTTGAATTTGCAAGCATTTCTAAATTTCCAAGATTTAGAAAGCAGTCTTCATGCTAATGATAAGCATGTTCATAGATTTGGTTTGGCAGCTAAATCGGTTATAAATGGAAAAACTTCTTCAGAGGACAGCAGAAAGTGGCCACTTTCCCATTGCAGTCTCCTGCAGGAAGCCCTATGGGGAGCTGTTTATGAGGAAATAATGTTTGCACTTAGTCTCCTGCTTTCCCTTAGAAAATGAAGGTTTGGTTCAAGTAAAATCAATGGCTGATATCCCTGGAAACTCATTCCAAAACACCCAAAAACTCAAGTGCCATGGTCAATGGTAAAACACAAGACACTGCCCTGTATCCCCTTCCTCTGTCGCTGGAGACCACTCAGGGTCACAGGGCCTCTTGCCACAGAAACTGATTATCCTTCCCAATTCTGACAGTGTTATACCCATCACCAGAGGACAGAATGATTTTGTCCAGAAATATTACTGGGATGTATTTTTCCACAATTAAAGTGGCTTCTCATACACATTTATCTTCAACAGTTAAACTTTACACTATTAGCAAGATGCTCCAAGAAAAAGCCTTACTATAGAAGGGAAAAAACTAAAATATCTTATACCTTTTACAGAAATACAAGTTCTTCAGTCTTTAAAGACAAAGATGTTAAATTAAACAATCTTGAACACTTAATAAAAATTGATTCTTTTTCCAGCACCAGACTATAAATTTAGAACACAGTTTTCCCACAAGGAATATAATACTGCAACAAGAATTTCTCAGGCCTCTTATTTTTGGATTGTCACATATATTGAAATAGTTGCTCAAATCAACTACAGAGAGATTAGACTATTTAACCTCTTAACCATACATACTTAGGCACATTCACATTCAGAACTTTTCCTTCTGCAGTGACCAGTGTCCAAGAAATCTTCTCTCTCTGTTTTGATTCCCTTAACAAAACAGAAAGAAAAATTGTTTATGGTTAATCATTAAGAAGTTACATTATTATTTTTAATAGCAAAAATAAAGAAGAGGATGGCAAAAGGTAAGAATTATTTGGTATTTGATGTTAAGGCTACAATTTAGTTCAGGAATAAAACAGATTGCATCACAGGTCCAACTGCACATTAAGAACATCATCTAAAGATGAGCAAATAATTTATAAAGCCACATACTACATGGACAGTAACTTCTTCTGCATGTCACCATGCCCATTATCAAACAGAAATATATCAAATTATCTGGTATACCACAAGAAAACCAGGGATGCCTTAAATGTAAGAAATGGGACATTTTTCTAGTTAGGAATGGTGAAACTCATCACGAGGTGTTGCCACTGATAATTAGCTTGATGTATGGGCAAAAAATTCTAAAGAATTTTTATTTGTGCTCACTTGATTACTCCCACTGAACAAGTGCTTGGCCTACCTCCAAACAGCATCTGTCTCCCAGTCACTATTTTGCTCTACCAAAAAGAATTTTAATGGTCAAAAGATTACAAGCAGCATCAAATAGGATACAGTAGGACCAAAGGGCAGACATATAATTTGTTGGTGCATATATTATATTTTTTGTTGTGTTCTTTGTTCAAAAAATGCAATAGATATCCTTGATGTATTGGCGATGTACTTCTATATTACTTCACTACTCGCTATCCATTTCCAGCTATTAGCAACTAGACTATATCTGACTTCCATTTAGTACAACAAATCAACTACATAAGTTTATCTGCCCAAACAAAGTAGATCACAGCAAGATCATTAAGACTTTTAATACTGGTATTTTCCTATGTAAATATCTAGTACATGAGTAAAGGTAGGAAGAGCACGGAATCTTAGTAACATGAGAAAGAAAAGTCAGCTTGCACCTAAGTAAAAATATGGAGTTTTCTTTAAAAATACAGCACTGTAATTGTCATGTTGCATTAATCCACTCTTCAGCTGGTCGATATAGTGGGTATGGCCACTTCAGCCAGCATATTAAAAGGGAGAATATTTCTCAAAAAAACCCCAACAAAAATGTATTGCTTCTTTTTTGTTCCTGAACTTATTTCTTACTATAAGTTCAAGATTAAGAGAATGTTAGAGGTAAATTACTAATGATAGACATATAATATTATAGATTTAGAACACCCTGGGGGAAGAAATCCATAAAAATAAATTTGGTCTATATATACAATGAATTTGAAAAAGAAATAAAAATACTTAAGTAGACATAATGGAATGACTACATCAAACCAATTTCTGTTTAAGAAAGACAATTATCCAAGTGTTAAACACTATTCTGTAATATAAATCAGCTTTCATGTGGGATTTGTGGGCTGCCAGTCTCCACACCTGAATGCCTAGACTTGACACTTAAATGCAAAGTGAAGAACCACCACTCTGCTCTAAAGATGTTCTCAGAAACACCTCACCAATTATATTCTACCACCTGTTAGCTTTTAATAATCTGTTCCCAGATGAAATTGTCTATTCATGTGAACCATGTTAAGGAGATGCTGTGAAACTTTCTCAACACCAAATGAAAATGAGCCATGAAAGGATTTTTAAACCCTTTAAATGCCTTGGAAATTTAGAAAAGTCCAGAAATCAATTATTCTATCTTTATTATAACACTATTTGGATTGTCCTTGAATCTTCAAAGGGAAGCATTTGGAACACATTTGCTTTTGACTAAAGCAAGGCATTTCCAAACATAGCAAAACTTGAACTGGCTAGAATCTGAGTTGCACAGTAGTTCTTCCAGGAAAGTGCTAGAACTTGAATTAATAATAGCAACAAGTTATGCACATTTCCAGATTTCCTGGAGACTTCCCTAGGACCGGCTTTTTCAATACTTAGCCTTGACAAAAATTGTAAAAAGCAAGTCCTTAAAAAGACCAGCTAAAAAAAATCTCTGGCACAAATTGTGTTATATAAGCAAAAGAGAGGAAGAAAAACAAAAGAAAAAGACATTATAAACAAAAAGACATTGTTTACAATGTCTGTGGAACTGATAAGCCAGCAGCAATAAAATACTGGGGCTTTTTTGGTAGTATCTGAATATATTTTGCATGTTCAGCAAAATCAGTAACAAATTTATAAAGCTTTAAAGGCTCTTCAGTGACCAAACTTCTTCAGATTCACCATGTCAAATAGCACAGATAAAAGAAATAACCTTATTACTCTTGACTAATACCTTTGATCAAGTAAGAGAAAAAATTTCTCAGTTACATGGAAAAAGTGCCTGAAATTCCACTTGTGCAAGACACTTGTAGCATGGCCTCCTGTATGGCATTTACATAATGCAATCTGCACTGTGGATAAATGTTTTTAGCAGAATGTTAAATGCTGAACTACACAAAACAGCTGCAAAAAAAGTGAAATTTCTAAACTCCATAAAATGAAGTTGAAAAAACAAACTGTATTTTAAAACTTTGAGGAAAAATAAAATAAGGAGTACCTAAATTAAGTTTGGAAAACGAAAGAAAACAAAATGAATAATCTGAATAATATTTAGTTTGGACTGAATAAGCCTATTTTAACAAGCAACAGGGATTTAAGCTGTCAGTTCTCAGTAATAATTAATGTCACGCAATCACTTGTCTTGTTCTCTGTACCTTTGAAAATTTCTCCTTCTTCATCAAAGATACTAAAACAAAAAAGTACCTTATATTGTCTTTAGCTCTCCGTTTTTCTTCAATATATCTGTGAGTTTCTAATCTAGATTCTGGAGTGTATGGTGTAGGCTCCTCCCAAAATTTTCTGTCTTCATCATCATTTTCAACTGCTCTGTATCTTTCCTGCTCTCCATCTCCTTCTGCATGATTGGGTTTTCCCTGTAAGGAGTCTGGGCTGTACAAGATCACAGAAATATTATCCCAATGAAATGAAGGAAAAGTAACTAGCTAATACATTACTGCAATAATATTTTTTCTACCCAATAATAACTGTACAATTCCTACGAAGAATGGTATCATATATTTGGAGAACATTCTCTGCTCTGCTTCTTTTGTCAATCTACAAAGCGTATTTTGACATAATGTTTTTCATTTATCTGACTATGGAGTGATAGTATGTCTATACCTAAACTCCTGAAAACCCTGAGAGATAGTTCAACAGATTTAATTTCAGAAAAAGAATTTTCAGATACCCTCACAACTTTCAGGTGAGAGACAACCTTCAGTCCATGTGCTGTTTAAGAATTCCCAATATCAGGCAGCAACAGATTAGAAATTTTTAAGGTAGAAATGAGCATCTCCTCAAATTCAATCTTAACACCCGAATAATTTTTCCTCCCTAGCTCTAAGCTTCTGTAGATCTCTATCAATAGAGAGAGAAAACTGAATTTATGATACAGGTGTGATCTATGAGGACAAAGTTCTGCAGGCAGCTTCATGAGACAGTTTCTATTGGATTAAAAACAAGATGGGTGGCAAGTGCAGTAGAAGATGAACCCCAGACAAAAATCCCGCTGGCTAGGATAGATAGTAGCAGAGACATGAAGTGGAAGAAGCAGGAAAATCAGCAAAAGGCCTGAAATACTCCATTTTGATCTTCAGATGTTTTAATGCTAAGGCAAAAGAAATTATAGTTGAACAGCTGCTTTCTCTGGAATGCCGGCTTTACCTTATATAACAATTTCCAGCTGTTCTCCTGAAAGGAACTATTAATTACACTATTTTGGCACCCAGACAACTTAGCTTGGAGTTTTGGGAGAAAAAATTCTATTGAACTATCTGCAGGTCAATAATAAATTATGTTTTTAACTAATTATATTTTTCATCAGAGATAACATGCATGAGGAGAAATAACTGCTAGATTGAATTAACAACAAAGATGAACAAAAATATATAAGTGGAATTATATGAAGTTTTTAATGAAAAAAGACAAACTTGTGAATAAAAAAAGGAAAATAATAACTTTTACACACAAAGTGTTGTTGTTGTTGCAGTTACCTGTCAAATCCAAGCTTAGAGTCCATTTGTTTCTGTTTCTCATCCTTTCTTTCTTGCATCCTTCTTTGAGCCTCTTCCTTTTCTCTGGCCCTTCTGAGAAGGTAAGTTCGTTCCTGTTCTCTGATTTTCCTTTTCACCTCTGGATAGTTTTGAAGTGCTTTAATCCTCTCCGAACGTTCTATTTCTTTACTATCCAAATACTTCCCAAAGGGGAAAAAGTATCAATATAAATATATGAGATATTATAAACATATCCAAATCAATAAATCCATTAGACTGTAGTTTAATTTTGATAAAGTTCTCTTATAATTAGAAAGGCATCTTTCACATATTAATAGCACTATGTAAGTTATGCTTTATTACAAAGAATTAACAGTAACGTGCTGTTCAGATCTGAAAATGGTTTTGTGTGTCTAAGATCTGCTTTTAGCATTTTCCAGGAATTTTAATTAGTTTTATTAGACTATACAGTAGAGAGAGTCCCTTCAGACATTTCTGGTCTTTGTCTGACTTTGATTCAGCCCAAAATTATTTCTTTTGATGTGTAAGTTTATTGCCAACTGAGTAAGTTAAATCTACTCTTAATAAGTTAAGCAGTGCCTGTGTTTCTCTGAGGAAAATTGTGAGAACATATTTCAGGCCTGAGACTGTTTCATTGACAGGAAATAGTTACATCAGTTCAGTCACAGTACAAAACCACAATCTCTAAGTATCTATTTACAGCCAATGCAGTGTAGTGCAATTTTATACCAACTTGTATTTTTTTACTGTCTTGCACTACAGGTTTAGTACATATTGTTGGAATGGTACCAGCAACCCACTAACTTTCTGCAATCATGTTAATAATTTAAAAATACATTGTATATAACAACCACAAGAAAAAAAGTGAATTGTACAATACATTTATTTGGAAAAAAAACCAAAACAAAACAAAAAAACCCTTTGTTTAAGAATCTCCAATGAAGATGACAGGAAAGTTAATGAATAATTGCGGTTCCATCAGAATAGAACCAATTATTATCGCATTATTTATTGAAGTCATTTATTCTTTGGAATATAATTTAATTTCCTGTGAACATTAAGAAAAAGTCTATTAGCTTTCCAAGTACAGGTGTTTATCTTGTTTAGGAAAAGTATTTTAAATCAACAGTACTCATGCTTTATTTGGATTTAAATTTAAGTTTTAAAATCTTACTTTTAATTGATGAAGAGTTGCCACTACAAACTGTCTATAACCTTCAAATTCAGTACATGGGTTACCCATTAGAAACAATTCCTTCAGATGAATATTGCATTTTAGGGATTCAATACTGGAGAGTTCACCAATGAAATTTGCTGTCAGGTCAAGTTTCTTCAAGTCTTCACAGCCTGTTTGAAAGAAACCTTAATTCAATTTGTCCATAACATAAATGTACATGATACACATAGACACATGTACACACTTGGATATAAAACTGTCTCCATTTGTGTTCTGTAAACTGATTTCATTCTATCTGAACACAACTTTTCCAAGACTTTCTGAGTGAAAGAGCGAGTCACAGCTAAAGTTTATGAGCTTACAATATTTACAGGAATAAAACAAACTCAATAAAATACAAAATACCATAACATTACTGGTTTTATCAATATCAAAACTTTGAGGACATTTACAGATGAACTATTAAATATTTAATTTTCACATAAGCTGGATTTGATTTTTACAGTCTGTTTGCCTTGATATTTCTTCTCAGCTAAGTCTCAATCGTATGGCTAAAATCCAATCCAATTGCTTAAGGACAGCAGGATCAATTATGAGTTTCAGTTCTGAGTATAGTTAATCTCTGGTAATATTATTCAAGTACAAAGATAAGATTTCCCAAAAACTCACTGCAAGTTACATTCTTCACTTTGTGGACTCAGCTGTCATTGTAAATACTTTATCTTTGGTTAAATTGCAAATACCAGTGAGAAAGTGTTTGTACTAAAACAATTCATTACAAACAGAAGCTCTAAATTAGGTAACAAAATGCTCTGGAAAATCTGATTTTTTTAATTTATCACCCTCTCTTTTTATTATAATGTGTGCATGAACCATAACCTTGACTCTAAGAGTAAAAAGTTTAGCTGAGAGGAAGCTCAGCTTTCATTCACATCACTGTAATCACTTTCCTTTCCTTATCTATTTGCTAAGTTTTATGAACAGTTGAGCTGTTAAGAAAGTAAACAACGTAGCACAATTTATTAGGGAATTTAAATAACCCAAATTTATGCAAGGTCCAACCCCAAAGGTTGTAATTCCTAAGTAAATGACAAATCACAGTAATAAATAATGCAGCCTGATAGATGAATTTAAAATTTAGTGGCATGAAAACAAACACAACTTTCTCAATGAATTCCCAAATATGTAATAACTACCTACTTCAACTTTTTCAAATTTGTGTTTAGACCATTTGCTTGCTTTTTATTTAAGCCATCCTCTTGAAACAGCTTTCAGACTTAAAAATACAAAATAAACCAACCACCCAATTAAACAAACAAAAGAAAAACAAAACAAAGCCAAATCAAAACACACACACACACACACACAAATAACCAGCCAACCAACCAACCAGTTTATTTGGGTTTTTTTTTTAATTTTTCCTTTTTCAAGGTGGGTATGTTAAAGATACAGCAGCTGGCCTAATCAGAACTGACAAACAGAAAACAATCAAGTCATAAATCATTCAAGTAAGATGGAATGCATTTATGGGTCGCTCCAAGTCTTAGATTTTAATCTTGGAAAATGCTGTATTTTGCACATGAAATGTGCAAAAGTGACAGGATAAAGGATTAAGCACAGATAAAACAGACAGGATTTCAAGCAATGAAAGAGAAAAAAATCCTCTAAAAACCTCTTTTAAAGAAACCCAGACCATCAATGCAACCTGCGCTGAGCACAGAGCCTTCTTGTGTGTGACATTTGATTCCTGAAGATGAAATGTGACCCAGAGACATTTAGGAAAGTTCAATGAGAAAAAAATCAGCAGTAGGAAGTACTTGCTAGAAAGAAACATTTATTGAAACCCTGCACCCAAGGATCCTCTAAGTATCCACAAAAACCGTTACGGGTGGGCACGCTTATTGGCTTCCACCATTTCACAACTTAAGTGTTCTAATATGAAAAGGCAAAATGGATTTTACAAAATCTGACCTTCCAGATTTTCAATTCTTTCAATGTTGTTCAAAGCCACATTTAAATATTCCAGCTTCTTTAGTTTGCCCACATTTTCTGTAACAAAATATAGATGGATTATTTCAGTTTTCAGCACTGGAAAGAACATTATGGTTTCACGTGCTTACTTTACTTGAAAACAACAATGAAGCAGAAAAGTAGGAAGGACAAATCAGAGTATGTACCATATTAATGGACATTAAAATTTTAATGTTAATAAAAAGACGAAACAAAAAACTTTTCTGAAAATGAAAAATAAAAAAAGCAAAAAGAAATAAGGAAAGTTACAAACACATTTTTATCACAAACCCATAAAACACGTATCTAATTCAAGAGGAATGGCTGGAAAAACATAGTGAAACATTCCATCTTGGGAAACATGACACATCTACAAATTCAGTGACACAAATCCTACCACAGTTTACTAAGAACTTGGAGAGGTATTTTCTACAAAATTCACAAACAAATGATGACATCAATTTCTCAGCAAGAACTTGTGCAGCTTAGTTTGGATGTTTTGTTTTTGCTGCAGTATTTCTGTAAGAGCAGTGCCTGTGCACATGATGATGTGAGAGCCAGTGGTACCACTCGTGCACGCTGTGGATGCCTGACAAGCCCCTGCCTGCTCATGGGGAGGGCTGACCCTGAAGCTGCATCAAGGTTTGTGTTAAGACACAGCCCAACAGAGCCAATATAAACCATTTTGCTATGATCTTCAGAGCATGCTTGGAACTGCTGTGTCCTCTGCAAGGACATGCTGCAATCCACTGGAAGAATAATTTCTGCACTTCAATACTTTGGAACACAGCCCCTGTTGACAGGGGACATTTGGTCCCCTGTTTTTGGTCACCACCATAGTGTCAGGAGGGGTTGGTGGTGCTTGTTTTGGTTGTTTTTTTGTTTTGGGGTTGGTTTTTTTCATTTGTTATTAAGGTATTACCTCGGAAAGCTGTCACATTATACAATAATATATGAATCACCAAGTTGCATACCTTTTCAACTCCTACAGTTAGATTATGGTAACATAAAAATTGCTTGTCTCAAAAATGAAATTGCTGAAAAAATTTTGTCTTCAAAATGCAACAATCTGAATATGGTATCCTGTGCTAACCTGAAGGAGGCCTGAGTGTTGACAGAAAAACCACAAGATGATATCTTGTGCCTTATTAAGGACACATTAACATAGAGAAAACCAACTTATTTTAGTCCCTCTTTTGATGGGGTAAAGAAGCACACAGCAGTTTAAATAAAACTTGTTCTTTCTGGGAGAAGATTCCTCTACTTTAGGAAATGCATATTTTATCAGTAGAGACAGAGCTTCCTGATCACCTGATAGGTTTTTCCTCAAGAAAACTTACAGGATTTGCCTACAAGTTCTGAGCACAGAATTTCCTCCAAAAACCTTAGTATTTTTTTTCTTCCTCTTAAGGAACTTCGAAGAGATATACTAATATAATTTCTGAACACTTCCAAATTTTCGTTGTTCATCTAGACAACATGTGTAGAATCTAAGCTTTTCCAGCCCAAGGCTTGATGTCTCATTTTCCAACATGGAACAAAACCAGACCATATGAAATTATATCTTCTCCTGCGGTGCAGGAAGACCATTAAGCATACGAAACAGAGAGTTTAGTTCACACACACTAGACAGTATTTTATCTCAACAAAAATTATTTCACTGTTAACAAAAAGATGATTTTGTGAAAATAAAATTTTAAAAAGAGCCTGAAAAAGCTAATCCTGTGATATCAAGTCCATGGAATAGGTAAACTCTTTGTCTCTCTGTTTGCCAGAAGATGGGATATTTAAACTATATCCTGCTTTTTGAAATTTTAATCCATAAAATCACACTCATATTTTAATGACTTGTATCTCAGTAGTATCTTTTTAATTTAATATTTCCCTTGCAAATTTCTAAGCTTCTTAGAAATTTAATAAAGAAACCAAGAAAGGAACTCTTGTTAGCAGAACATTCCCTTAAGTATAACAGAATACTTTTTTTTTTCTGATTTCAGAATTATGCATGTGAATACATTTTAAAAGAAACATATAGAGAAAAGACTTACCAATTTTTGGAATTAGGTTATTCTGAAGATAGAGAATTTTTAAATCTCGACACCATTTGTCAAGATGCTCTAGCTTTTCTATTTCCTGCTGATGTAAAGAGATTTCTTCCAGTGAAAAAATTTCACAGTTGTTATGTTCTGCACGTCTTCTAACAAGATCTTCAGTGACTGAAAGAAACATTAGATGTCATATTTCCCTGTAATAATTTTCTGCCATCTGACTTATGAGCAAATTATAAAATCATTAAAATATTTTGTTCCACCATACCAAATAGCCTGGTAGGAATGACAACAAAAATAAAATCTGCCAGAAAAGATAACAAGATATCAAGTACCAATTAGCTTTGACCCACTCCGCCACAGTAAACATCTTTTGTGAAGCACAATCACGTCACCTTTGCAAAGATCCATATGAAAACTGCTGAGTCTTCCATAAGAATGTGATACAACCCTTGCAGAAATTAATCCATCAGACACTATTTTCAGCATAGCTTGGGTTGCAGATTGATTCATGTAGGCAAGTAGTGGAGTGTTTTATGCTGTTTTATTTCCAGATGCCAGATGTTCACACCACAGACAGCAGTGGGGGGGGGGGTAGAGGGAAGCAAAGTACAGTGTGCCATCATATTCTTCCACAAGCACAGCATGCACAGAAATAAGCAGGATAAATGCTGAAAGTAGGCAGATATTTTTTATGCCACAACTAAGTCACACTTACAAACATTTATGTTAGAATGAAATGTATACCTAGTATTTCTTAGGCACTACCAGCTCATCAGAGCCAGAAAAGGAGTTTCAGTGGCTGAAAACCGCCAGAGACCTGGGTTCAGTTATCATGTTGTAATATTTAATGCCAGGCAGTCTTTCAAACAGTGAAAATGTTCTGTATAACAAAGGCAAAGAAATTCTATAAGAACCAGTGCTCACTCCTGAGCCAGAAGCTAGAAGTTTGTTTTCAGCACACTGCACCAAAAAGTGCCTGCATTTTCTTCTCCTTGACAAGCACTGGACTACAGTGAAGTATGGAGGAAAACCACAGGGTTTTATCAAGTTAGCATACGTATTTTCATTGTGTTTAATGCTGAAAAAAAAGACAAAAAAGCCTTCCAAAGAGAATCTGAAGAAAAATAAGTAAAAAGAAAAAATATATAAAGATCTGTGAAAACAAACTGTTCTTACCATGCATTAATTAAAAGTACTCTTTCACTTCTTTGTCTCAGGGAGGTTTTGTGAAATCATCCAGTTTTATTAATGGTCATGGGATGGCTGCACACATTCACAGTGACCAGCAAACTATGTACCAATACAGCCCAAACTCACATGTGTCTGTACAGCTCCTCTGCCTGCAGTCTTTGGGAAAGGGGTGAAACTGGTTGTGTTTGTATTACATTATTTAAAGATATCCAGGCTTAAATTTCCCTTCTGCTTAACAGAGTTTCACCTGACAGAATTAATTTACAAAATTAAATGTGGAGATACAGATATTGATTGAAGGGGGAACCTGTCTGCACATAAATCGTGTTGGGGAAGGTGTCTTTGTCTCTTTTAACCACATTGAGCAGCTTTATTGTATCTGAACAATCATTTTCCTTTCCACTTGTTTAAAGTAACAGAAAAAAAAGAGGAAAAAAAGTCAATAATCATGACTAAATACTTTAGTCTTCACAATAAATATGAAAAAACATTGACATTTCTAGTCAGTTACTTGGCAAAACTGCTGGAAAATTAAAAAAAAAGCCTGCTACTACTGTGTTTGGTGGCAGATTTTTCAGTGCCACTATTACCAGGTAATTTTGAGTAGAAAAACAATACTCCACAATCTGCATACATACACACTGGTAGCAATATTATGCTCTATAACCTTTATACAAAAAGAAGGCATAAAAACTATTCCTGACAGCTTAATTACAGCCCAATTTCCACTTGCTGACGAAAATTGAAATTATTTTTGCAGTAATTCTGCAAAAATGTCCACTTTCATTAACAGATAATTGGCAAAGCATAGACAATCATTCCCAATAGAAGCTACAGAGAAGCTTTAGAAACCTAATTTGAGATCCTGTTGTAGGGAACTGCCCGAATATTTGACATATTGTGTAATATCTAGTTCATTTAAGAGGAATGAGGGGAAACAAGCTTACAAGAGAAAACAAATATTAAATAAAATTTTAAATAACAGCATCTCCAGGCCATTGACAAACACACTGAACTCACTAAAAAGTTCATTAACCAGATTTTCTGACATTGTGTGCAGTAATGGGACACTGGAGTAGCAACCTGAGAGATCACAGCTATTCCCAGGTTCCCATGAACACAGGAGGGAATGAGGAATGGCATCAATCAAGTGGAGAGAACAGGTCTTGTAGTTCTAATGACAGGGCTTCCAAGAATTACGTTTTACTCAAAAAAGGAAGCAGAAATGAAGGATAGCATTAAAGAAATTGAAAGAATAAGCAGATTGATAGCTGCAGGTGTATCAGGAGATGGTGGGGGAAGCTGCATTTCAGAAAAGTGAAGTATGCAACCATTACTTTAAGATTCAAATTCATGTTGTGCTGTTCAGGAGATAAAGTCACTCTCCTTCAGGCAGTGCCTGCTCAAAGAAGGCATCTGCCAGCTTCCTGCAGGAAGGAGTTCCTGTCGAAAGCACTGTTTTAGCCTAGCACAGGACTGAAGTCCAGTGAAAATATACAATCAAAACAGATTACAAGACAAATCAGAGAGGAAGGGAGCTCCTTTTTCATGAGTAAAAGGTGTGAGCACTCAGTCTTTTGGGTCATACTTCTGTATCTGGAAAAGATGATCATTTCATAAGTAACAGTATAGAGTATTTTACCTCATTTGGGGTTTTTCCACATCTGACAGACCTGGGCTCAGACATAAGCCATCCTATCCAGCATCCCCCCTTGGAGGGGCTGCCCCACACAAGGAGGGGTCCCCCCCGACCTGGGCCATCCCAGTCCCCGCTGCTGGCCCTCCCAAGGGCTGTTTTGAGAGGAAAGGAACGCCTGTGCTTCACATGGCGACATAAAATGGGGAGTTATTGCCAAGGAAGAGAAAAATCCAACAGTCATCCAAGGGAGGCAGGAGGGCAGGGGACTGCCAGGGGGCTGTGGGGATGACAGGCAAGGGAGACAACTGCAGCAAGAGGGAACGTGAATCAGAGAATTGTTTAGACTGGAAAACACCTACAAGATCATTTAGTACAACCCAGCACTGCCAAATCCACCACAAAACCATGTCCCTAAATGTCACATCTGCATGAGTTTTAAATAACGCCAGGTGTATTGACTCCACCAGCTTCCTGCTCACCCTGTTCCACTGCTTGACAACCCCTTCCATGAACAAATTTTCCCCAACATCTAAGCTAAACTTCTTCTGGCACAACTTGAGGCCATCTCCTCTCCTCCTGTCACATGGGAGAAGAGGGCGACCGCCCTCTGGCTACAGCCTCCTTTCACGGAGTTGTAGAGAACGGTAAGGTCTCCCTGAGCCTCCAAGCTGAGCACCCCCAGCTCCCTCAGACGCTCCTCATCAGACCAGCCCCTTCCCCAGCTTTGTTGCCCTTCTGCGGACACGAAGGAGGCGTGCAGGGCGCGGGGCCCGTCCTGCAGAGGAGGGCAGGCGCTCCCCGGCACTCACTGTGCACCATGGCCCCTCAGGCGCCGCCGCCATTCCAGCGCTGCCACAGCAACGGCGCCGCGCGGCCGGCGCTGAGGGCGGCGCCGCGGCCTGGCTGTAACCGGGCCCGAGCTGCGCCAGCCCGGCCCTGCCTTCCCTCGGCGGGCAGAGACCAAATGGCTTTTCCTCAGGTGGAAATCTCGCGTTTCGGCCTTTGCGTGACGCTTCTGTCCTCCCCCTGCATATCCGTCAACTAGTTTGCCTCACACATTTTAGGCTGAGAGCTAGTTTTCCGTTGTTTTTGAAAGCAGCCTGTTCCAGCGATTCACAGTCTTGTTCAATTTTAGAATCACAGAACAGTTTAGGCTGGAAAAGACCTGTAAGATCATGAAGTCCACACGTTAATCCAACACTGCCAAGTCTCCACTAAACCGTGTCCCCCAGTGCCAGGTCCACACCTCTAATTTTTCTAGGGATGATGATTCAATCACTTCCCTGAGCAGCGTATTCCAATTCTGGGTCACGATTGGCATCAGATTGAAGTGGTAACATCAGGAAAGTCAGTTTGTATTTCCTACCCATCTTCATTAACCTAAAGGTCTGATCAAACCTAAAGGTCATCTTATACTAATAGGTCATTCACTTATAAATTTAAATAAGGGAGTAGGAATTTTTACAATGATCAAATTCATTTATTTAGCCATTTTCCTCTGATGTAAATGCAACTTTCTACAGCCACTCTGCACCTTTCTATTTGTATTGCAGATCAGAGGAGTATGAAGGTGTCATTAAGACTCCTGAGATTTGTGGAGATGATGAGACACAAAGGAACAGAGGTATTTTATACACTACAGTATTTATCCTGGTGTATCTGACTGGATAAGTAACAACTCCAGGACAGCGAGATTTACAGAGCTGCTTAGTTGTGGCCCATGGCCCCAGCACATAATCACAGTCATTAAAGAAGGGCCACTAATCCTCCTACCTACACATTTATATCAAATTGCAGGCCTCTTCAAATAATGACTTTTTTGCTAGTAATATTAATTTTTCACTTGGAAGTAGAATTCACAATTAAAGTATTTTAAACAAGGAAAAAAATCTTGGTTTTGCTGCGTACAGTATTTTAAACCCTGTATTTACATTGTATTACATTGAAATGCCTATGTTATTTGGTTAAGCTGAAGTCAAGGAGGGAGAGTATTCATCCCTTTTTCAGATATCCTAGATTATAGTTCTGAAGAAAGGAATATAAAATCTGCAATTAATTAAATTACCAAAAATTAAAGTGAGTGGGTTGACTTGGTAGGTTGCCAGGTGCCCACCAGCTTTTTTTTTTTCTCACTTCCCAGCCTCAAAAGAAGATGGGGAGAAAATATGATAAGAAGCTCATGGATTGAGCTAAGGGCAGGAATGTCAAACAACCATTACCATCATGGGCAAAACTGGTTCAGTTTGGGGAAATGAATTTAACTTTTTGCCAATTAAACAGAGTAGGATAGAGAGACATAATGACAAACCTAATTCCACCCTCCTTTTATTTCTCCCTTCTCCCCAGCTCAACTTCACTCCCAACCCTTGTATCTCTATGTCCTGAGTTAAGCCACAGTTTGTTTTAATCAGTGTGTATGTAGGTCCTGTTTGACAAATCTAGTTAAGCTGCTACTTCTTCAAGCAAGTAACTTCTCACTTGCGATGGCCCAAAAGAAGAACTCTTTTTCAGTGACTTAAAAGCTTTCAGGGTGTCTCTTTTTCTCTTGTGAAGAACAGTTTTGTTTATGACTCAGGGCTAAATTATTCAGGAAGACAGTAAGCAGCACTTTGGAGTACGTGTTTGCAACACACTGGTCCTCACCTGGTGGTCTAGCACACGCAGGGCAAAGCTAGGTGCTGAAGTATGTTATTTGCTGTGTTCTTTATTTTCATATAGTTTTGTTGGGGTTTTTTGTTTAAATTATGTACCAAGACCTTTCAGCAGCACAAGCCTGAAATGCTGGCATGAAGCAATGTACATGCCAGAGATAATGTAAAGAACCACATTACAAACAGTACAATGGAGACGAGAAGGAAGAAAAAGTCGCCTCTGGCATACTTTTCCTGAAGAAATTGAGTTTACTGCTTTAATACATTACAACTTTATTTGTTACATGTGTAAAACAATGCAATATGTATTTCTATGTAACAACAAAAATAAGCTTCATAGCATTATTATTATAGTGCTAGCATTTATAGCAATTATAATATTATTAATACAGAGGAACTTTGAACATTTCGACTTTGTCCATAAATACACTCATGTAAGGTGCTCCAACCCCAGAAAATTGATATCCATGTACAAAGCTGTTGAAGTGCTGCAGCTTAGAGTCTCAGCTGATTGATACCCACTGGGAATTTAAACCTATGTATTTTTATTTATTTCCTATTGAATTACTGTTTTTTTCAAATCTTATTTTTTATTTTATTTTTCTATGGTTCTAGGTAATGTAGTCACCAGTACAAAACAAGGCTTTATGTTTGCACTAAAGTACCAAAAAACCCTCCCTCAAAGAGCACATAATCTGCAGGGCAGGACATGAACTCACAAATAACAAGTATTCACTGAAATACATGTAATTTCTCATAATAATAATAATCTTCATTACTTAAAAACATTCTCAAATACAAAAAGAAATGAGAACAGGAACAACTTTACTGGTATGGAAATGCCAGAGGTAGGGGGGGAAAAAAAAGCAGCATGAGAAACCACAAAAAAATAAACAATATAAAAGAAGCAATTGTTTTGCTCAGTGTATATAAAACATGCAAAGAGTTTTATAAAATAATGCAGACAATTCATAAAAATATACATCAAAAAGCAGATTTTGCAGAACTGGACTACGTGGTCATAACCTGTATTCTGTACCGTGTTGTTTATTCCATATAACTTAAATTAAAGATATTAATCTTTCTATGCTTTGGCTTCTATGAGTAATGCTTTCAGGATAACTACAAACCAGACTTGTTCACAGACCAGGAACATTTAAAATTAAGTAATGGCACCAATATTACCATCTTCCACATGAACATTTCCCCTATAAAGCACTACATGACATATTCTCAGGAATAACTCTGAAATTCAGCTGAACACATCTGAAGTAAGAGAATATAGGACAAGGTGTAATGATAAAGATCATATATATTAAAAAAGCAATAAACTGTAAGAAAAAATACACAAGGTTTTATAAATATACGTCACAGCACTTCTATTTGATTTTCTTTCTCTAAATAAGGTGCTATATTAAAGGGGAATAAAAATTTAATTACTGGAGACAAAAAACCCATAAAATTCTAGTTGTTTTCTCTGTTTGTATAAGTGTCAGTTAATCACTAATCAATAAGTGGTTTTACTGTGAGAGAATTATATTCCACAGTTATCCTAGGCTTGATACTGTAGTTAATAGAAGTTGCAAATACTCATTACCTCTGAAAATCTGGATTTACACATTTAGGTTGGAAATTTTTTTCAGTTTCACATCAGAAAAATCCTGGCTTCAATTTTTCATCCAACAGGAAGAGACATATGATTGTGCCTATTTTCAGAGAAAAAAGATGAGGCATGTTTTTATGTCCATAGGAATATATGGAAGGGAACTGCCAAAGCCAATCAGTCTGGTAATTGACTAGAACTTTGTTAATTCAACATCAATGAATATCAGGGAAGGCAGATTTTAACATCCTGAGCATTTTATTTTTAGCCCTAGAACTCCTTGAACAATTGAGAAATTGTCTCAGGAGTTCCCTCTCTCCAGCTGAGAACAATTCCAATTTACAGTTTATATTTATTAATAGACAGATTATAGCAATTTATTGTAGACATTTTTTTTTTTTTCAATCTCAATCAGATTTTTCTTTGATAGTTTACAGTGAACTAACGAGTTTAAAGTGAACTCTTCTAGTTTTCAGCATAATTGCTTTGTTAACTGCAGGTAATTGCGGTCTTAGACTTTTCTCTCAGAATGAGATTTAACTTTACAGATTATTATTTCAAGAGATTATTTAAATACTAAAGATCTTTATAATCCTTTAGTTTTAAAAGTGATTTTAGTAATGGACCTTTTATGATAGTAATAAAATAGATAACAAAATATTTACATTTTACCTAGTGATATTTGCTCTCAGTTGTCTTTGTGCTTTAAATAAAGAGGAATTATTTAACACAGTATTATTCATGTGCATTAACTGTAAGTAAATATGAGGATGAGTATTATAAATACTGTTTTAGTTGCATAATATATCAGTTAGCACATATACTAAGCCACTATCCACATCCACTATATTGGATAGCATGATAACAAGAAATTAATATATAAAATACGGGATAGCATCGTTTTTATTTTAAAAATATTTCACAGGAATTACAAAACATTTTTTATTATCAAGACAACATACTACAGGTACAACACTTCTTTGCATGATTTCTTTCAGGTAGTCATCAAGAACTAAGGCTTCACTCATATTTGACCAGAAGAAAAATAAAGCTAAAATTAATTGTGTTTTAGAGGAAGAATACTATCAAAATCTGTTGGTTTTTTTTTTCTCACAGGAACATGTAACCATGGCCATAAGGAGGTATCCAGGAGTTCTATGCTGAAGAGCTGATGAAAATAAATTTGAGGAGGAGGAAAAATGAAAACTATTATTGAACTCATTTGAAAATGCACAGAAGTAGCAAGTCTGCTTTTAAATTTTTATGAAGTGCAAGAGATGAGCAAGTTTTGAACTGTGGAAGGTCCTGTCTTGCAGTAACCTGTGTCAATCTGTGTTTAGTTTAGTCCTGCCGTGCAACAAGTGTCCAGTTCTCTACTCCATCCTGTTGTACCTGCTTTGGTTAACATTGATAGTGGCTTTCAAAACCAGTGAGCTTTCAAGCTCTGATGTTTCAGCCCTTACATAAACAGTTCTACTGACTTGAAGTGCAAGGTGTGGCAGCCCTGCTTGGCATGCTGTGAGTAGGACATTTTCTCATCATAGGCAGAGTGATCAAATGACTGCACTCCTTTCTAAAATGCTTTGTTCTCAGGATTAACACCCTCCTTTAAGAGTGGAAAGAAAGGTTTTCCAGGTTGTGTCTGAAGCTGTGCAGATGCCTTTAGATCTCAGAAGTTGAACTGCACTCAACCAGGAGACTGCTAAAGAAGCTGTTCTATCCACGCTATAAGGAACACAAACTGGGCACAGCTCCACTTGGTTCCTCCTTTTCTTTTCAACTGTACAAGGTGGAGACATAAAGGAAATAACAAAGCCAGGACTGGGATGACGAACTCCAATTACAAATAAATCAGTGCTCTTGTTTTAAGAGTTTGAGCTTCAGTGAGGCTTAGAAATGCTTGATAAACAGAAATTGGAGTGTGAGGATGAGGCTTGAATGAAAAAGAATAGGGAATAGAAGCATATCTAAGTGTTTTTCTGATATTCTGGACCAATTCATGTTGATGTTGCTTCACTGCTTCAGTGGAATGCGACCAACTCAGAGCAGCACAGCACCTGGTCCTGCTGTTCAGTTCACACTTGGGAAAAGGAAGACTTGTTTTGCTTGTTACTGGAAAACAAGTTTTCTCTGGGCTGAAGCACAGCAATTGTTAACAGCTTACACTATTTAGACACTGCTGCCAGACAAGAGAAAGAAAATATATAATGCAAATGCAGTAAAAAATGAGTTATAGACATCAAATTGGAGTAATTTGCAGTGAAAAATGGCAAGGGTCCTGCAGTTAATCCTTCTTTTAATGGAAAGTCCATGGAACCTTTCTAGGATATTTGAACCCTATAGAACCCTGTTCTATAATAGGACTCATCCCCAAAAGTATGGAATTCTTTCTAAACATAAATATGTACTCACCAATTGTTCTTTATTATTGTTTTCTGTGGGAAAAAAAAAAAGAATACATTTTTGTATGTCTTGATTTAAATCACAATTTCTCATAATCATTTTATGTTATCCATAGGTCCTGTTTGACAAATTCAGCTAAGCTGCAGGACTACTTGTTTGAGCAGGTAACTTCTCAATTGTGATGGGCATAAAAGAGGCATTCTCTGTATACCTGCTGCTGAAAAGCTCTCAGAATGTGTTTTTCTCTTGTGAAGAACAGCTTCCTTATGACTCAGGGCTAAGCTATTCAGGAAGAGGGAAAGCAGCACTTTGGGGCATGTGCTTGCAACACACTGGTCCTGACCTGGTGGCTTTGGTAAAACCAAAGTTTTAGGGACTAGAGACATGGCAACAAACTGATGCATCATCCCTCAAAAGGTGGGACTGTCATTGCACTAGGGCTATCCAAGTTGTGCCTTGCTGTTTCTGACTTCCAATGTACCCAGTTCAAAGGCTGATCTGACAGATTGTCTTGGGGCCTTTGGCATACACTGATCTCCTGGACCCTGATAGCTTCAGAAACAAAAAAAAATTCTCTTGAGCTTCACTTTTACCCCATAACAATTCAGATAAGCCCAAACTTTTCAGTCTTAGAAGCATTTTGTATTTTAGACATTTACAATTCTGTGGTGCAAAAAAGGTGAAGGAATGGTAACTCATTAATCCATACTTGCTTTCAGCATGAAGTTCTATGTGTGAGCTAATGCCACATTGGGTTAGAGAGGCCAAATGATATCAATTCTGCAGTCCCTGGAAGGTGATGATGTGGTGAGCATCATAATTAGGTGGTTTTATTTTTTCCAGTTAAAAAGAAAAGGCTAGGTCTGGTGTCCTGGGAGTGGACATCAGAGCAAGGCTTGAAAGTGACCTCTGGAATCATAAATTACACTGCTTGGTCTGTGTCTGCATCATGTTCTGATATATTAGGTTTACCTCCCTTTTCTGATACAACATTTATTGCACATTTATGCAAAGGCAGGTTTAAGAACGAACAGAAAGTTTCTGCGAATACAAATCAGTAACTGGAAATATGGAATTCAGTACTTCAATACTGGAAATATTGAAGTCAAGTACTCTAGCAGCAACTTCAGATCCTACCTTCTATCTTCTGACATGAAAACAACAGCAGGAATCTCCTTTCTCTTCTTAATATAAAATTTCTAAATTCCTCTATTCATCACTTGACACTGGAACCACTTACCAAAACTTAGTTGTTTTGAAAAATGTATTGAGACTGAAGAAAGTTGACACAGGAGCATCTTGGGACAAAAGAACTGTGAAATTAAAATGCAAAATGCTGTAATGGATTGAAGGTTGCATTTGTCCCCATTTGACCATATAGTGCTCTTATTAGGATCAGTAAGACCCATGGATATACATCCAAAGATAGAATTTGGTCCTCAGATGTGACTTAGTAAAAAAAAAAACAAAACATATGTTGGCAATAAAGAAATTCTATACTTACAAACTAAAATGATCAGCAACAAAGTGACAGACAGTCCTCCCAGAAAATATCTGAGAACAGAACAATACCCAGAAAGGTTAAAAAAAGCCAAAGAATGCATATTGGGTTAAAAGAGGTGAAGCCTGGGTGGGAGGAGGAGGAGGGGTTCTTGCAGATGAACCCTCTGAACTCTGGTAGGTGAACTGTAATTTGAAACCAGATTACATAAACTATTGAAGATAATCTCCTGGAAAGAAAGACCTCAACATTCAGACTGCGAGAAAAACCCACTTAGAAAGATATGTATCCATTCTGATTCTTCTCAGCCTGCCAAAACCCCTGTCAAAGCAGACTTGGCAAAGTACCTTTCATATCTGCATGCATATTTCTTATTTTTGTGCATATCTATGTAGCTTAGATATTTTCCTGCATCAACTATCATGTGAAAATGTATTTTCACAATAAGATACATATAATTTTGAAAATATGACCCTTAATTGAAGTTTTATTCACCAGCTGAAATGAAGCAAGCACTCATGTCAGAAACAGAAAATAAAAGAAATAAAAATTACCTTGTACATACTGAAATGATTAAGCACATGATCAGTGCAACCATCTGAGAAATGACATTTTGCACTGTCCTGGATTCTAAAATAAAAATCAGGAAAATAATGGGTTTTAATGAAAGTAAATATATGACAGGAGGTGTTTGCAAAGGCTACCTTCAGCCTGTGAGACCAGTCTCTTCGGTTGCTTTGAAAGAGAACTCGCCTGGAGTGATTCAAAGCAGAAACCTAATTTTCATTCTCTGGGTGTCTCTCAGGAGTCTTTTTTCCCCACAACTACAGAAACACTGTGCCCTCCATGCTCTCAGAAAACAAGCCTTTCTGCATAATTGCCTGTTTCAGTTTTTGCTCCCATGCCCTTTCCTCCATTTTCCTCTTCACTCCTCTTTTTTTTTTTTTTCTGAAAAATGGATGAGGGAAAGATGTGAGCAGGGTGTAGTAATCAACTAAATACCAATTTTGTGATTTTATTTTTTAATCTTTCATTTAAAATACATGTTTTAGTAAATAAATTATATTCTACAAGGGACCAGATCCATATTTTTAATGTATTTTCACTTCACTCTGAAAATCAGGTGTGCCAGAATAAGAACATAACATACCTGCATTGCTCCAGGTCTCTTCATTTGCATTTATCATAAAAGAGCAGGGTTTTGAAGCACAAAATGGTTCCTCAAAATGAAGAAACTCGTCATCTTTGGTGAGAAATGATCCATTAGGTGCTGGAATTTGCCTTTGTGACACATGGTTATTACATTCAGAAGAAAAGTCTGAATCACCTACAAGAAATGCATGTATAACTGAGATTGCACAAAAGAAGAGCTCTGAGACTTTGTATTAATGAATTTAGGAATTAATTACTGAATCACAGGAGAGTTTCCAAATTGTTAGAGGTAGGGAATTGGCGGGTTCAAATGCAGGAGAGAATATGCAGAGTAAAGACAAAACTGCACAGAGCATAACAGATGAAGTTATTGAAGGAGCCAGGTGAAAGCAGACAGTGCCAGGTATTTCACACCAGAATAAACACTCCTGGTGATGACTTTGCATTCAAATTCAGTCAAAAAATGACTTTTTGGCACAGAGGTCTTTGTGGATTCATACTCAGTTTTAATGCCAGGAGCTCTATTTGTCCCTTAAAATTCTGTACTTCATTCTATCCTTTACTTGCACACCTTGGCTAACACCTGCAAAATTTCCAGAAAGAGATACTCAAATATGCACTAAACATAGACTGCAATGTTGTATCTTGATTACCAGGTACCCGATCAGGGCTTACCACTATCACTGTGACTGGCTTCTAGTTTACTACATCCATCAGGCCAAGGATCCTCTACAAGGGAGAAATCCATCCTGCTGGGAATGGTGGAGCTGAGCCATGAGCTGGAGGCACTGAGATTGAACAAGCTGTCAAGAGAGCGACGGATTTTCTTCCTTCGCCTGAATACACTAGAAAGAAAAGATGTGTTGCCAAGGAATAGAGCTAATTATTCTTGCTGAGCAGGGACAGAGCTCTAAAGCTTGCAGGAATGACATGAAAGAACCAGGTTCTGGGTGCTGCTTCCAGCCCAGTTTTTAACTCTGGGCATGTCACCAGGAATGGCTGCTGCACACCACAATATGTCAGGGAGTTAATAAGCTGTATTAACAGGAGGGCTGATCATGCTGTTGTGATTCTGGATACTGTGGTACCAAAAGATATAACAGCTACTGGTCTCTGATAGTGCTGTGAGTGTCTCATGCTACCTGTGATTGTCATCCTGCTATATCCTATTTGAGGTAGTCTGAATTCATTGAATTCCAAGTTTTTTGAACTACATTTCATATACCTTCCTAAACTGTCCTTCTGAATCAATTGATGATTTTCTTTGAGTGAGAATTCCAGGACCAGATCTTTTTTATTTATATATATGTATGTGTGTGTGTGTGTTTTAGACAAAGATATTTATATTTATACTTTTTTCTTAGTCCTTATCAGAGTAACACCCACCCCATTGGCAAAATGAGCTGTAGCTCTCTCCTTTTCCTTTATTTGACACAACTTCAATTATAGCAACAACTGTGCACTAAGGAGTTTTTGGGTAGTAAGATGTGACTGAAAATCAGGTTATTTCATTCACTGCACTCTCTAAAGCAATTGAGATGTTCCCATTCAGAAGTAATGCTGGTCTTATGCCAAGCAATATGTAGACAGACACAAAGACACCTCCAGATAAGGCCAGAGATGTGGAGGCAATCGCCAACATGGATTAAAATGTACGTATAGTTCACTTACCGAACTAAATTCTCTTTATATGTAACACTTGTGTGGGATGGTGTCAGTGTTATGTTGCCCTCTTCATCAGACAGAAAACTGTCTTCTGTCAAAACATAATAACCATTAGAAAGCAGTCGAGGGCTGCGGCGGCATGTAGGAAGGGAGCCTGTCAGAGGATTTGTGGAGCACTCATAGGCAGGATCGTCATCCAAAAAGGCACAAGTACAACTGAAAAGGAGAAATGAAAGCCTCTAATTTAGAGGTCTGGACAGAGCAAATCCACAATTTAATAGTAATGAATTTCCATTCCCAGCTGATGGGGACTGGTAATGACATAGATTTAAATACATGGATGTGATGATATTACTCTTTACCAGGGGGTTTCAGCCAGCTGACGTGTGCATCACATGTTCCAGAGCTTAAGATTACAAGAGGGATACATGCCAGGGGAGCATTTCCTGAAGCATGGAGCCAGCTTGAGCTCAGAAGTGCTCGGTGTATTTCCGTGGCAGTGCTCTTGGCCAAGGAGTCCTGCCAGACCTACCCCGACCTGGAGCCATCAGAGGCATTCCAGTATTTGGCTTTTCTGAATTCCTCTACATGGCACAAACTGGGTGCCCCTGAGCCAGGCAGGATTTACTTGCTTTTTTATAATCTGGCCATACTTAGTGAAGATTTAAGGATACATGACTTCTAACTCTCACAAATACTAGAATGCCATGCAGCTGGAACAAAATGGGATAAAGCCCAGATATTGTGATAGCTCCATCCAGGACTGAAACACAATTGACTTTGGGATGAAATACAGCACAGAAAACTATACTCTCTGGTATTTAAAATAGAAGTGAATAGTGACAGAGGTGAAAGGATCTAAAAGTTGTAGACGTACTTAGTTTGACTAAAATTTAATTTATGGTTATACCTTTCCATTTAACACCTATGAGTTCCAAATTGCCATGCGGTGACATCATGGAAAGAAAGGAAGACACCGGATTGATTTAGTGTCTGACCTGTGTTTCAGTAAGAGGTTTAGCTATCCCATATGGCATGTCACACAGAGATACCATAATTTCAGTGTAGGGAAAAGCAGATGGAAGAGAGATACTCCAAAACCCTGTAATTTCAAAGCCAGTGTTTCCAACCTCAACAGCAGTACTTCTGAACTTCCATTTAGGGCAGTAATTAAATTATTATCAGCACTAAAGTTCTCAGTGGCCCAAAGGGGATTTTTACAAAATCTACCCCAGAACAAAAATAAAATTAAGCAAGTGTAACTTTCCTTAATACCTTGGAAAAATATGTCTTGGGAGGTTGTGTCTATGCTCTCCATCATATGGTGTTGAGCCTGCAGAAGCAAAGGTGAAATAAGAAGAAATCATTATCATATTCACTGACAGCTTGTGCATACCAGAAAGATAATAAAGAAAGCTAAAAATTGAAAGAAAATTAAAGGATTCATTAAAGCATGTGAAAGGATATGAAGGATATGAAAGGATAAAACATATGAAAGAATCAGGGAAAGACTTGGTGTTTATAGAAAACTCATTTCAACCAGGACAACACAGAATCAGAGCCAACAGAAATCAGATATTTTTACTCTGCCCAGATAACAGACTTGAGAGAAATAATTATGGACACAAATGCAATAACTGCAGTAATTTTAAGGTGTTTTGCAAGAAATCTGCTTCATGCCAAAGCTAGAACTGAACTAGCACTAGATACTGAGTAGAATGGAAAGGCCACCATTAGCACTATATTTTATTTTCCTGATGAAAATTGCAGACATAGCACAACCAGCACAGGGATTGCTACAGTGACAAATATTTGACAGTAATGTTGTGGCAGGAGAATAAGGAAATAGGATTTGTCTGGATTACCATGGCTCAAGTGTGCAAAGGACTGCTAGATGTTCCGCACCTGACAGAATCAATCTTACAAAACATGAGCAAGGGCTATCCATAGGGAGAATTTATGTCTATTATTACATGAAAAGATAAAAGATATGATCTTTCCCTATATGACCTTGTCTCTCCTGAATCTTTAGAGCTTCAGACTTGCAACACTGTTAGTAAGTGCCCATCCTTCCCCTCCAAGAGGAGATAGGGCTCAGAGAATTTTATGTTTTTATGTTCAGTTATGAGCTGAGGCAAATAAAAGGCATGAAGGTCAGGGTTTCCACTTTGGTAATCTTGTTTAACCTTCTTGGAAGATCAGTTGTCAGCCACTTCACAGGGTGTGAAGTCTTGACTCACCCTTGGGACCAGGCAAGGTGAAAGAAGTAAAATATTCAGGGTATTTTTTACAAATCAGTCCTATTACCCTGGTCCCATGCATACTGTTTCTCCTACCCTTTGTAAAAAAAAGATCACTTTACCATGAACAAATCATGCTCTAATGGCCACAAAAATAACTCAAGGAGGAGAAAATGGAAAGAACTTGGGGGAAGGTACAGAGAGATCAAGAAGCATCAGTCAGAATGCCACGGAGCAAATTGTACAAACAGTGGGACCAGTGGTGTATTTCATAGTTTGACATGTATTAGAGCTATTTTTAACATACAACTACCTCCTGAAATAATTTCTCTTATTTTAGGCAAAATCACGATTCTTAAATGTGTAAAAAAAATGTTACATTCAAAAGCAAGAAATGCATTCAAATTCTAGAAGGAAATACAGGGATGACTTAACAAGCAGTGTGTAGATTTGGATAAAAACTAAAACAAAGAAAATCCTAAGTATTATCAGTCAAAAAAGATCCCCTCCACAAGGTATTTATTTTTATTAAAATAGACAAATGTATCCAAATTTATTTGCTCCTGGAGTTGAGGCAACATATGATGTTCCATACATGTTGAAAAGTACTGCTTCACACACCCTAGGGTAACAGGGAATATAGATTATCTGTAAAAGAGTTTAAAAAGAAACAGAAACATGTTTTATTTTGTCTTTGAAAATTAGGATGGGTAAGATAGTATCAGCAATATAGATCAAATTATTAGTCATAATGGATTCTCAGGCAAAAGTAACTGATTCTAGGGCAAAAAGTTTGAAAAGGATATATAGAAGTATATGTCAGGATCAATTATACCTATCATTACTCTTTAATAATCTGAGTGAAACACTCCAGCAACTGAAACCCACAGCACAGCTGTATTGCACACAATTCTTTCAGTTATGATAATAAAAAGTAGCAATGTCTAAAAAAAGAATAACTTTTAGGAGTGGCAGCTTTCCTGTGGGGTAGTGTTTTCACTGTAAGGTGTTGACACATACTGATCACAGTGGAAGGACAAACCACAGTCCTTCTGTTCCTCATTTGAATTCTCTCATAACTTTGCAAGGTATGTCTTTGCAGGATGTTTATTTGCCGCCCTCCAGAGAAATAAAATTTAAGATAAAATAGAGTATATTCATCTATTTATAAGAGAAAGTGAGCAATATACACATGCAGATATACTATTGGTGAGGCAAGGCATTGCCCTCTTTTCAAGAACAATTAATAAGCTGCTGTAACTTGCTTTTAAACTACTTTAAGTAACGATAATATCAAGCTTCTGTGAACAGTAATAGAACAGGCAGCCCAACAGATTTTTTTGCTTGCCTTGATTGTGAAAATTTTTCGCTCATGAATAATGAAGAGAGTTCTTGAAAATAATTCAATCAATGATGGAGAAAACATGGAAACATCATGTTGCAGACAATGCTGCACAGTGTTCTGCTTTCATTTAATATTCAGTCCAATTTCTGCGCTATTAATAGCGTGAGAAGCTATAGTAATGACATAACAAAACAAAGCTTCTCAACCATCACTGTACAATGCAGCAGTGGTATCTGTAATCCATTAAATGAGCCATCAACACAGCAAGTCTAAACCATGGCATGAGAAAAAGCCAAGAGCTCTATGAAATCTCGCTAAACACAAATCTGAGGTGAATGAGGCAACATTTTATGTCAAGAATCCAAATAAGAATTTAAGGCAGCAACCTCCTTTGGATTTCAAAACACACAAAACTTCATGTTGTAATATAAACAAAAAGTCACTATCCAAACCAGTCAGTTTTACCTACCTTGCCCTCCAAAAATCAAATTAGTGTTTAAGCCAATGATGCCTTCAGTATACAATCTAAATATTTACATTAGTACCTACCAAAATATAGCACTAACTATTCAAATAGCTGAAACTCAAGCCAACCAGTTTTATTCTATTGTATCTAGCAAACACAAGTGTCTACAAAGGGAGTTTTATTTGTTCACACATATCAGTTGTTTTTGAAGTTGTTTTCTCCCTGTAGGTAATGGTAGCAACATTCATAAAAACGCAAAACTTCCTGAAGAACACCACAGAAATGAATCCAAAGCTTAGCTACTCCTCAGCTAACTATATTAAGAGATAAACAAGGCTAAAATCCTTCAAACCTGGAAAATCCATTTCCAAATTAACACATGCGTGCAAAGCTTTTCCTCAGCCCGGGAGCCCGTGGGACTGCAGGAGGCTGTTCTGGGGCAGCTTCCCGGGAGAGCCCAGCCCAGGCTCCTCGCAAAGGCTGCTCTAACAAGTCCCCTGTTTCCTTTTGAAAACAGCCCGTGCAATCAGCGGCACGGAGCCCCAGTGAGGTCACGCTTCCTGTAAAGTAGCCTCACATCAGAAGCATTTGTTCTGAAGAGCAAAGCGAAGATAAAGATTAGCCCAGAACGCTCCTGCCGGCTGTTGCGAAAGAGAAGAAGCACTAGAAATAACGTCTCGCTCCAATGATCACACAGAGAACAAGACACAACCTTTTCTCATCAGTGACACGGTTTTGTTTCAGATTTGCTTTTCTGCCTCGCACAGAAAACTTTCAAGTTGTGTATACAAATAATTCCATTTGTTGAAATACTTGTGAGCCTGACAGGCTTTGATGTAAGAAAATTATCCAGTTACCAAAAAATAATAACAATACGTTTTGCAAAAGCACTGTTGTACAGAAGATACATTTGGTGAGAGTTCAGAGCTACATCTCACAGCTGAAAACATTATTGCAAATATATGCCATCAATGTTAATATAAATTCCATTGAAAGGAGAAAGGAATAAAGCCATTTGTAAACATATTCATTGTTGCATGCTAAATGTGTCATGCTGTGTAAGGCATCATTCATCACACCTTAAAGCATAAAAAATGAAGCCAAATCCACATAAGAGAAATAGAGCCTGAATAAGAAATCCTGCAATTAAAAGTATTTGGCTGCAGAACTATTACATACAAAAGTAATATAAATCAGCTGCTTGACACTGAATTGTACAGCCTTAGGGGGTAAAACTTCATCTCCAAATAGATAAAATGATCTAGTAGTTTTCTCTCCTGATGACTGTATGTTTCACTGACAAAAAATGAAAGCATACATTTTGCAAAATACGATTTATTTGATGATAGTTTGTGGGGGTTTTTTCCCCCTGGAGAAGGAAAAATACTTCCACTGATAAAAAGAATATAAAAACCTCGCCTCCCAGAAAAGGAAATAAAAATAGGAATTAGGCAATTAGGATGTTGCAAAAGACCTCCTGTTTGTGAGTTAAACTGAAATGAACATTTTATGATCTTTTTTCTCAAACATGAAAATAGGGACATGGTCCATCTTCACATCAGTTCTTTTAATTTGGTGGAATTATGTCAATGGGGAAATTTAGTCCAGCACTATTTCCATGGATGCATGGGCTTCATCACAGCATCATTTCCCTGGCCACCCTGCCTCTCTACAGGCAATGAATATAAATTCCCAATGATCTTTAAAACTAGGTCACCTACAGAAGAATTTCTGTACACACACAAATTTACTCCTTGGCTATATTTTTGGTTTCTTTTCTTATTCTTCTCAACAGGAAGCAGTGAATTCCAAACTTGAACTGCTTTTCTGAAGGACATGGATATTTCATGTTTGACTATATAGTTAAAATATATTGTGTCTATATCATATTCAGGCTCGGAGATGTTTTCTTTTTTAATCACTGCTATTTGTATCTGCAACTCACTGTTCCACAAGCCTTTGATGCATAAACTTCATGCATTGGTGACTATTTTATAGGTGAATGCTAGACTCTATACACATACATAATGGTTTATATACAGCTTTATTTTTTGTTCTTCACTCTGTCGCTCCCCAGATTTCCCACTCCACCACAAGCCCTATCTCAACAATAAAAACTTCAAACCAGGTTTCAAATTTTACAAAATGAGTACACCAACAAGCTTACATGCAGTAGTTTTATGCCTGTGGCACACATTACCGTTCAACCCACAAAAGGAAGGAAATTAGAAATTACAATACTAAATACCATCCATTTTTGTACAGTTCTCCCAGGCTCACTCTGCTTTTGATACAACAGATTGTGCAGGGTCTGTCAGTCCAAGAGAGGTGGGGCTGGGGTCCCAGCAGCCCTGAGTCTGAGCAGGTACCCCTGGGAGGGACACACACAGAGTGCATTTATAACCACACCTATACAGACACACACAGCTGGCAACACAGGTGACAGGGACAGAGAGTGTTCACAATGCACCAACAGCTTCATCCTTCTCACCCCTGTGGCTGAACAGTGCAGAGGTCCACACACATCTGTACACATCCCTCCAGCAGCTGGGCTCAGGAACTCTGTCTGCCCAACAGCTGCCCCCGATCCCAGTCTCACCAGTTGCATGCACCCAGACATTGGAGGCCTTGGGGCCACAGCCCCACAGCCCAGCTGGTGATGCAGACCATCTCACACAGCTACAGCTGGCTGGGGTTCCCAGGTCCTCAGCAGCCCTGAGAGACTGAGAGACACCCCAGCCCACATGTGTCCCAGGCAGCTGCTTTTCCTGGCCCCAAGGTGCTCGGCTGTTGGCTCATCTGGGTGGGTTTCATGCCTGGCCACAAGGGCTGAGACTTCTCTGGAACAGCCCTGGGAAAGACAAGGCTTCCCTTCCTCTGAAATCCCTAATTCAGGCTCCCACCTGCCTTTGTGCCCCGGGGCTCCTCTGGCTGATCAGAAAGGCTTTTGATGGGCTGATGGCTCCTGGAATGGGAACAACTGGGTGCAGGGAATTCTTTGGGCTCCCCCCTACACTGTTGTCCCTCTGAGCTTCTCTGTGAGTGTGCAGATGAGCTTTTAGCACATATTACACCATAACTTTGCTATCTCAGCGGCCCACTGCAACTCAATGCAGAGTTATGCTAAACACAATTTTCAGGAAAGGTATTTTCCTGGTAGAATGAATTGAGTGGCCATCATGGAGAGAGTGGAGTGCTTATTGATTGAATGTAATTGAGAGTAATGTGATGCTTCTGTAACTCTCTTTGAACCTCCTGGAAACCTGACAACCTTTAACTGTCCACCAGCTTCAGCAACCATCAAATCGGGCCATTTTTCCTGTATCACAGGTCTGTGTCAATATTGTTTATATAGTACTCAAAAGTAAAAAAAATATTCTGAGAGGTCTGAAAATTAATTGAAATTTTTTTAAAAATACAGCAGGGGAAGGGCTGGCCATGAGAATCTCTGAGCAGCCTCACTGGGTCAAAAGTAAGGTCTATCAAACTCTCCTTGCCTGCAGTCTTTCTGCAGGGCAAACTAAGACCCATTTTAATTTAGCTTGGTGAATGATAACATTTTAAGCTAAGTGCATGCCTTTATGAAGCAAAAACACTTAGCAATATTTGATGGACTGCTAATTGAAAAAAACAACAAAAAAAATCTCACAAACTGAGGCCTTTTATTTCAATTTTAAGAAAAGGCTGATCCTGCATTAAGTTAGCATTTCAGTGCAGGTTACGGAATTGTCACATCATATATGATTTTAATAACCTGATCAGGTCAACTGTATGAACAAAGATTAATTAGCCAGAACAAAGATTAATTTGCTTTAAAGTGGAACAAATCCATTTTTAATGCTATCAGATGGAAATCCCATCACACTCTATTGGAGACTTTGAGATCCAGGATTGATTTTTGACCCCCAAATTCATTATTTTAGCTTAATTGTTCCTTCAAAACAGGCAAAAAAGGGCATTTCTTGTTTGCATGTTGGAATACAGTGAGTAGACCTGTAAAATTTGGAATTAGCTCTGAGCTTGCTAATACACTCATACTGCTTAGATCTTAAGAGGTTACCTGCAATAATGCTATGTCAGCTACCTCTGTATTGTACCATAGACATAGTCCAGATAGACAAAAAATGTTTAAAAAGGATGTAAATCAAGTAAGCCACTAATGGACAATATTTCTTTGTACAAAGCCATGACTAGTCTGCATTGTATCTCTCTCCATCGTTCTTGATTATATGGTTCCATAGAGAAATTTCCTTGGTATCTTAACCTAATGTAGAGATGGGAAAATGCCACATCATGATAGAAGAGCAGTGTAAAAATAGACATGGGAAAAATACAAGAAGTGCTTCCATTAGAACCTGTAACTCTCCCACCCTGCATCTGGAAATACTGCCTTAAAACCCATTTTATTAGAGAAAGAAAACAAAAGGGAGATGTTCAAATCCATCAGCCAAAGCAGAATTTAGTCAAGGTTGCTAATAGAACTCAGGTGAGTCCTCATTAGAGCTCTTCATAAATTTCCTCACAAGAAGATCTGACCATTACTGAAGAAGGAGGAAGGAACACTAAAAAAAGCAACAAACACACAGACTTATACTAAAAGCTGTCTGACTCAATTTTATAAAGGATGACAAAAGTTCATGAATCAGCACACTGCAGTGTCTGCTGTGACTACAAGCAGCCAGGACAGAGTCAGCTGTTGGCCAGTTGTGCTCCAGCAGCATCTTATTTGCAGAGAATAGAAATATTAATGCAGAGATCACTGGTCTGAGCAGAGAATGTCTGGGAACAGGTTTGAGGTGATGTGTGCATGGTGTACACCCATGGTTCCTGAGCTCACGGGTCATCACACTTCCAGCACAAATCTACGTGACACATTTTAGGACACACAGAGAGGGAAAGGACAGGGACTAAAGGAGGTAGGGCTGTGTGGGGACGCTGCTGACTCTCAGCTCTAAAGGGTATAAGAAGCCGTGCTAAAACCCATCACTATGTGACCAACCCAGGAATAACCCATAAGACATGGTGAAGACTCAGTTGCCCATATTTCTGTCTCCCATGTCACTGTAGTTAGTGCTGGACAGACCACTTGCATAGCAGCACCTGGGTGGTTAAAAGCTGAACAAGCCACGTAGATACACATGGCTTTAGGGACCTTCTCAGTGCTTTAACTAGACACATAAAATTTCATCTTTGGTCGGGGGTTTTCTTGTGACATTTTGAGTCCCAAAGTAAAAATTAATATTCCTCTGGAATGGCCATGCACTGCTGCTCACTGTACTTGGGAACCTGTGTAACAGCCTGATGTGATCTACATGGAACAGAGGGTCTTGTACCAATGTACAGTGAAGGCTTTTGGCCAACATATGATTGTAAAGGATCACAGCATGCTTTATATATACTGAAAACCTGTAGCTGAGAGGTGTTGGTACAACTACTTCCTGAAACAATAGTGGCAAAA